CTTCCATAATTAGGTTGGAAATCTAGTACTCTATCCTTGTTCTGTAATTTATGTAAGAGAATAGCTTTTATGCTGACCGATCAGAGATTGGATAAACTTTTTCATACATTTGCTGGGCTTCTCAGTTTGTAATTATATACTTTATTCGTAGCGACCTGTAGAGTTCCATAGTACTGTACCGAGGCCTATATCGATAATTCAACACTTTTTAGTCTTTGTAAATATTAAATATCCCGGTCTTTGGTGCTGTAGCAATCCCATTAAAATATTGTATTATTTGTCTACTAACTGCAATTCAGATACTTAATTCACTATATTAATTTCTGTGTGTTTATGATTGAGCGCGTGTCTGCACATCAACTTATTGATTGTAACATACAGATAATCAATAATTTATCCACACTTGATTGACAGTCAAAAATATATATGGATTTTTAACTCTCTCTCTCTCACACACACTCTTGGTTTCACAGTGTGCTTGCTCGCTGTACGCTTGCGGATTTTACTTATCTTTAACAATAAAAATATCTCTGCAACTGGTGTTCAGGCTTCTGAAAAATCTCGAGTAAATCCATGGTTCTACTAGGAGATTTAGCCTACCTAAAATACTCAGTTAACGGGATATCATTTATTGGAGTCAGACATAGAGGAAATTAGCATCAACAGTGCCATCAAGAGTATAGGAGTTTGAAGTGCTTACAAACAGGAAACTTCGAGGTGATTCTAAACGATTTTGTCAACAGATTGTTATATTGTACTGATGTAGACTAGTAACATAGATTATATATTTAGAATTATTGGAGGCCTACTGGAGTTAGACGGAAATGATGTGACTAAAAGTCACTCCTCGAAACCAGCACCTAACTTGAACTACTCCCTCGACGTATCAAGGTACTATGGCTGCTATGAAAATTGTATAAGACAAGGGACGTCATTACGGAGATATATTAGTAGGAATGAACACAGAGAAGATTTTGAAGCCACCACCGCATGACCAGTCTGTGGCATACGGTTAGCTGATGCAGGTTGGTTGTCCTTGACCTTGACAGGTATCGATGATCTATTCGATATTCAATGATCAAACAATCGGTTGATTTGTCTAGAGCTCAGTGACATTCCACTGGCCCTACACTGATTTAAACACCATATATTCGATCGAAATAGTATTTTTCGCAACTGTAGTGAGATATACAACTCCGCCTGTAGCTCTTCTAGAGTTACTGCCGGTCCCAAGCTCGGGTAAAGGAGGAGGGTTGGGCATAGTGTTATCGTCCCCATCCCGTAGAAAACTAACTCGCTAAAAATGCGCTTACCAGAAAAAATAATTCGAACCACTTTAACTCTGCCCTGGGAGTTAGAAGGTCTTCATTTAGAAGAATTATGACGCTTCATGGTGAAAGCCGAGTTCCTTCGGAAGCCACGAGGCCGATGCCCCTTCTAACAACCAGAGCAAACATTTTTGTAGGTACATGGAACGTCCGAACAATGTGGGAGACCGGGAAGACCAGTCAAATAGCAACAGAAGTGAGGAGATACAATTTGGCAATACTGAGAATCAGCGAAACCCACTGTACCCAAGCTGGACAGAAAAGGCTAGCTACGGGAGAGATGCTTCTATACTCCGGTCACGAAGAAGACAATGCTCCACACACTCAGGGAGTCGCTCTAATGCTTTTCGTGTAGCACGAAATGCACTTGTAGGATGGGAATCTCACGGATCCAGAATCATCAAAGCATCATTCAAAACAAAGAAGGAGGGGTTCAATACAACATTCCTTCGAGATACTGACAGACTGAAAGAATTTAAGATAGCTCTCAACAACAGGTTACAAGCTTTACAAGATCTACTGAAGAAAGAAGAGACTACTATGGAAGATAACTGGAAAAGCATCAAGGAAGCATTAACTTCAACGTGTCAAGAGGTTCTGGGCCTAAAGAAACACCATCATAAGGAATGGATCTCTACAGAAACTCTGGACAAGATCAAAGAAAGAAGGAACAAGAAGGCAGCAATTAACGACAGCCGAACACGAGCAGAGAAAGTCCAAGCACAAGCTGAATACATAGAAGCAAACAAGCAAGTGAAGAGGAGCATTAGAGCCGACAAGAAGAAATACGTGGAAGAACTATCAACGACGGCAGAAAAAGCTGCTAGAGAAGGAAATATGAAACAGCTTTACGATACAACGAAGAAACTAGCAGGGAAATACAGTAAACCAGAGAGACCGGTCAAGGAAAAAAGAAGGCAAGCCAATCACTGAAATCCAACAACAGCGGAACAGATGGGTAGAATACTTCGAGGAACTCCTGAATAGGCCGACTCCAATGAATCCACCGGACATCGAAGCGGCACACACAGACCTTCCCATAGACGTCAACCCACCAACGGAGGAAGAAGTCAGAATGGCCACCAGACAAATGAAGATCGGGAAAGCAGCGGGTCCGGACAACATACCAGCTGAAGCACTGAAGTCAGACATCGAAGCAACTACAAACATGCTTTACCTTTTATTCAAAAAGATTTGGGAGGAGGAACAAGTGCCGATGGACTGGAAAGAAGGACACCTCGTCAAGATTCCAAAGAAAGGAGATCTGAGCAAATGTGAGAACTACAGAGGCATCACACTACTGTCAATACCAGGGAAGGTCTTCAACAGAATGTTGCTGAACCGGATGAAAGATGCAGTAGACGCTCAACTTCGAGATCAACAAGCTGGATTCCGTAAGGATCGATCATGCACAGATCAAATTGCAACACTACGGATCATCGTCGAACAATCAATTGAGTGGAACTCAACACTATACATCAACTTCATTGATCATGAAAAGGCATTTGGCAGTGTGAATAGGAAAACGTTATGGAAACTTCTTCGACACTATGGAGTTCGTGAGAAGATTGTCAACATTATCCGGAACTCATACGACGGACTACAGTCGAATAATAGAAGCAGATATGAAAAGGATGAATAACAACTGGAAGGAGCTGGAAAGGATTGCCCAGGATAGGGTTGGATGGAGAATACTGGTGAGCGGCCTATGCTCCTTCACGAGGAGTAACAGGCGTAAGTAAGTAAGTAAGTGAGATATACGAAAATAGTCGGAATCCACTATGTCTTGTTGTTTTTAAGATAGAAGTGCCGAAACGCTCAGACCTGGCTGAGAACCGTATTTACGACATTCAGTTAGTAATTGATTCGAACGTGCGAGGGTTCATGAAAGTCCCAAAAGTTAATACTTTCGATAAGTTCATGTGTAGAGCAAGAAGCACCCGGACCAACAGAATATAACACAAGTTATCCAGCCGTTACTCAGACTGCAGGCTTCAGAAAAAATTCACTGTATAAAGTTTTCGCACAACGTAATAGTGTTCAAATATATGTCAGAGTTTTAAGATCTATTGCAATCTTTTAGCATGACCTACCTAGTCTAAAAACGATTGTAGATCTGTAGCGACTGCTCGATTTCAAATAGGCAGTGCCACCGAACACTTGTTTTATATTTTCTTATCGCCAAGACACTGATTATCGGCTCTAATACTTTATATCTTCATTCTCCTTAAGGTTTAATACAAAGATTATTAAAAAATGTATACAACAGCCCTCTTCAGAAATTCAAGCACATATTCTGATAAATAACCAAGTCACACATTTTTTCAAGTCTGAGTAGGTGTTTGAAGGGATCAGACCACAATTAAAAAACAGTTTATTGAGTCATCATCCTTTTATTTTGAATAGTTCTCCAGAGCGTGCTAGAGCGGTAATTCTACTTTGGAGGTCATTGGTTCTCCAGAACAGGTTAGAAAATTGTTCAGAACTGGTTAGGGGTCATCTAAAAAAATGCTTTCGGTTAAACAGTCTATAATATTCAGTGCTCTTATCGATTTAAAAACTCTATCGAGCAATGAATTCTCAAAGGGTTAGTAGCTAGTGAGCTAATTTAAGCTTTTCACAGTAGATTTTTTCTACGTTAATTCACTTTCTGATACGACAGTTTATGTGAACAAAAGTTACTTAATATCTATCTGCTCGAAGTTTCAACAACGTTCATAAGCACGTATTTGATGTACAATGTGCACTAGATTGTCGATAGTTTCTAGGTTAATTTAACAGTTGCAAGTATAAAACGGCAGTTAACCTATATTCCCCGAATATTTAGTGCTACGGCAATTTAATGTCACCTCAAACATCAACATGAAGTGCAGATGCTGTGTTCTGGTAGAATTGTTATTATAATATCTGTACCTGATGAACTAGTTCCTAAGCGTCGGTTTTAAATTTGAAACTGAATCCTTCGAAAACTTTATTTAGATTTACTAATAACAAACCTTACGTAGTAATCACGTCTTTGGTTATAGCACGATCTGCTATAATTATGTTGGTTAAGCACTAATTGAAAACCACTGTTTTGTCGCTGAACTTGTGACAGTGTTGTCCCCTGTTTATTGTCTTCTAAGTAAAAGATAGTCTCACATGAGTCTCACTTTTATCATTCGTTTAAATTCTTAATTTGTTAAAAGTTATCGACTATATCGAAGCAATCTGTATGCATGTCAAACGAAACTGGTCAAAATTAATTCTTAAAATGTCAACATTCTGTTACCAATGCTTATCACTTTAATACTTGTAAAATGTCGAATCCAGTGCTTCGATTTAGTACTCTTGCAATCTCCTAATTATCTGGGTGCCTGTTTTCGGGTTTAAACTACTTACAATAATAATGAAATTATAAGTCAAAGAGGTTTATGCTGGTGTAAGTTACCTTTAATATCGTTGAGATCTTGATTTGACTGGGAAAGTCTCGGCAAGGATTTTTCTGAAGCGATTCATCGTGATCTATATTTGTCTTATATGTCCTCTCAAAGTCGAAAATATTCAGTTACTGATGCATCCGATGGATATAATTCATGATTATATTGTGCTTACTTTTATTTCAGTAGTAACTACCTGGTGTTTTGAGACAAAGTATATTTAACTGCGATCTAAAAATATCTGCACAAGAATATGGAAAATGATGAAGTTGTACTCACTGATAGCACGAAGAAAATTAAAGCTATAATCTTAATTGGTGGTCCATGTAAAGGTAATAATTGACATTTCGATTACTTTTTCACATAAAGGTACTCGCTTTAGGCCACTTTCATTGGAGTTGCCTAAACCACTTTTTCCAATAGCTGGGTTTCCAGTTGTTTACCATCATATTGAAGCCTTCTCCAAGGTAATCATTAGAATTCGACATTGGAATTTAGTTACCGGGATTGAGGGAAATCATTCTTTTGGGATTTTACCAACCAAATGAGGCTCTCAACCAGCTTATTTCGAATGCGCAGCACGAGTTTAAGGTTTCTGTTAGGTATGTAGAGTTTGGATGTTTATTAATTCTCTGTTATTTTTCACTTTTTCTGGATACCTAAGTACAGGATTTAATTCGTTCTACAGATATTCTACTAGAACTGTAAACGCGATACTGGCAACCCTAGGGTCTATATGAAAGCCATAATCAGAACAAGGACAACTCGTTTTTAAGCTTTATCTGTTTCTAAACGTAAAATTACAATTTGATTAGTACAATAATTAGAAAAACTATAATCATTAAGTGGAACGCACGAACATACCGACCAGTATTGCTTATCTTATCGAAATGAATAAAAATTATGAATCATACTAATATAATAGGATAATAATTCCTTTCAGTTTTCAGATCACATGCAACAAGGAGAGTCTACAGATGCATCAGACCAGATTGACGTTGTGGGCGCTTAAGCAATGATTTGGTTGGTTAGTAATGGACACAATTGACATTCTCCCCAAGCGGGCACCACGTCCAGGCTTCACTGCTGTCGTGTTCATATAATCGGCTTCTTCCACTAGGCACAGGTTTCGTACATCCCAGCTGATCTCTTCAGTTGCTGTCTTCAGTCGAACTGTTCTGACTCCATCTAGACCATAATTGACTCGGGCCTCTAACCTAGAGGTCTAATCCACAAGGCAGTTGGGCGACTTTAGGAGATGCGGTTCCGTGTTAGCTGCGACCAACAACGGGTTTATACGCGATTGGTTCCTTCAGAATCCTGAGCTCACGTGCACCATTGGTTTGGGATCAGAACTTTCCAACTTCTATAGGTGGTTCCTCCTTACCCACCATTAACCCAGTTGAAATGCCATACATTTACTTTTCATCCTCTCAGTTTTGTAAACAACACCCCGGCTAAGAGAAGACAGTGAGTAGGACTTCTCTGACAGAGGCTGTATACGCGTGACCATGTGAGGGCATCTCGAGAGGAAAAACTGACTGTACGAGGGCATTCAGGTCTCAGTAGATAGCATGCCCAGTCTCGTCATTTGGTTTACGTCAAGCTTAGCATCAAAACCACTTATCTAGAATTTCAGGCAAATTTAGGTTATGATTCAAATAGGTTAAAAACTCATAACGTTTGAGTGTGTTCCTTTAAAAGATCTCCAAGCCACTGTAAAAAATTCAGCTTTTCCACTGTAGTTACTTAAATACTTTTATATCACTACTTTAGGTTTATTCGCAATTATTTATTTATTTATTTGAACACAAATATTGGTATAAAGGTGCACCAAATACACTAACAATGGTAATGTAAAGAGATATAGAATGTAAGGTGCGTATAAGAGAAAGGAGAAATTAGTGTATTTTAGTGAAATAATAATAATAATAATAATAATAATAATAATAATAATAATAATAGGAGCAGTTCAGTTAGCAACGGTACATCCAGAAAGGATTCTTCCAGTTAAAGAAATCACGCCCATTTTTATGAAGAAAGTAAAATAAAGTTACAGCAGGATCGCCACTGGCTTCTATTCTGAGCAATATCTGATAACGTCTCTAGCCACTGTGTTGCACCATCTCTAGGACTCCTGCCAGAAAGTCGTGAAGGACCGACAAAAGCCAGCCCTTTGCAGCTTTCTTTCACACCACGACATTATGTCATACACTGACCACCTTTCCGCTTTTTCAAACTAGTTCCAGTGTCGGCAAATAATGCACGGCGTGGAATTCTCTGAGACGACATTCGTAGAACATGTCCAAGCCACCGAAGTCGATGTTTCAAGATGGTGCCCGAACACATGATGCTGAACCTCTGCATTACTAATATGGATCAACCACTGTATGTCAGCAGTCCTTCGGAGACAAAGATGCTCAAACACAGAGAGTCGTTTACCATCCTCAACTCGGGAAGGCCAGGTCTCCCAAGCGTACAGCAAAACTGCTCTCACCGACGCGTTGTAGATCCGACATTTTACAGCCAGACTAACATCACAAAGGCGCCAAAGATGGCCCAGATTGGCGTAAGCCGCTCTGGTTTTCACTATACGTGCATTGATCTCATCACTCACGCCACCATCAGCACTTATGCAGCTACCTAGATACACGAACTTCTCGACTACTTCTATCCCGACCGTTGTTGCTACCTTAATGCGGCGGTTGGGCTTGCCTATCGTAATGAAGCGACCGAGCTATACTGGCTGGAACAACCGTCCCTCAAGGTCTTACCATGTCAGACAGGTCGGTTGAAGAGCGGCAAGACTAAAAGCAACAAACCCAAGGTTCGAAGGTGAAGTCGTACTGCTGACTGTATAGAGCTGTGACAGCAGTAAGGTGTTTCCTTCAGACAACCAGCATGACAGCGATGCTGCCTTCCCACAAGGAGGGGTGGGGTTAGAAAAGGTCGACCCTAAAAATGCACACCTCGCCTTATCCCACGGATATCCGTCTCCGGCGGTAAGGTTTCAACAAGTACGGAGCTAACACAAAAGTTACTCATAAAATAGTCGTGTGTGATCGACCTCCAGCAATTGTCCCTTGGGCACTGCGGTCACGCTCTCGGGTCACTAAGACCACCTCTGATCCAATTTCACTTCCAAATACCTCCAGTCAGTCAGAAGAACCTTTTCACAGTGTGGGCAACCGGGAAGTGATAACCGCCCTCATACCTCTAATAGCACTCAAGATCACTGTATTCATAATCAACCTCCCTGCCAGTCTTGTAGAAGTACTTTGCACTTCTAAGGTGCAAAGCACATACCATACCTACGGACGTTGATTGCCAACTTATTAAGTGCGGATTGCATGGCTTGGGCATCATCACAGTAAGACAATATCATCCGCATAATCAAGGCCGAGAGGTCTTTCTCCAGGCAACAGATCCACACCGCCATTACTTACATCCACCAGAGCTGTTTCCAGAATGTCATGGATGGCAAAGTTGAAGAGAAATGGTGAGATTGGGCAACCCTGCGTAACCCCACTGCTTGAATGGAACAATGGAGGGAGGTGGTTGTATGCCCTCACTGTACCTGAGGTGTTTGTATATAGGGCCTTTAGGATGTTAATAAACTTCTCAGGCACATCTTTCGTCAATAGACAATCCCAGAGAACAGTCCTATCCAACGAATCGAAGGCAGCCCTGATGTCAAGGAACACTACGATTGTTGGCCTTTGATAAGTATGGCGTTTTTCTAACATTTGGCGGAAAGTGACGATATGATCAATACATCCTCAACCAGAACGAAACCCAGCCTGCTTCTCGCGAGTCAATCTTTCTCGGGTTTTGAACAAGCTACGACGTATGATGGAAACCAAAAGCTTGGACGCAATCGGAAGTAGACTTATCCTTCGATAGTTGTTACAGAAACGACGTGAACCCTTTTAAAAGGTAGGAACAACTATCGGCCACTAGTTAAGTAAACCAAATGTTTGTCTTAAATTAAAGTCATTCGAATGTATCATATATAGAAAACATTGTGTCATAACTTATGTTTATACAGTAATCCTCCCTATGACCAAATATAAGGATACTGTTTCTAAGGAAAGATTTTAACAAACTCAAATGACAGAGGATGTTGCTAAAGTAGTCAACTAATATTTACTAATCCTTATAGTATCCTTACGGTGTTCAAGTAATTTCAAAGATTAAACTACAGTTGGGGTTCCTAAACTTTCACGTTTTATCCTTATGTGAAAACGAGACTAATTCCTAAATAAATTTTAGTAGGAGTTTCATTTGAACTGCTTGTTGAAAGTTATATATTTTTATTTATAATCCTACAAAATGTTATGCATTCAAATTTGACAGATATTTACAGGAGTTCACATCACTAGGAACAGCTGGTGGTATATATCAATTCCGTGACCAATTATTATCTGGATCTCCGGATTTGTTGTTCGTGATGAATGGTGATGTATGCTGTGATTTACCTCTTGAGGAAATGCTCGAGTTTCACAAATGTTTGGGTACTGGGGATCGGTTTTTAATTATGGCGACTGATGTTAGTTGATAAACTTTAGTTCATATCATCCTTATATATTTGGCTAATAATTCTAATTGTATGATTTTTTCCTCATAACAGGTTCTACGTTGACTTTTCGACAATTTTTCGTTTTTGTTTGTTAAAGCTGTCTTATCAGATTCCTTTGTGGAGCTATATTTTCTATCCACGCAATCAAACTCATTTGTAGTACATATTACTACTTTTCAAACCAGTTGCTTGCGTAAGACTGTAGTGTACGATTTCAGGTCACTAAGACCAACTCTAACCCAATTTCCTTTTCAGGTACTTCTAGAAGAACCCTTCCACGGTGTGGGCAACCGGGAAGTGATAACCGCCCTCATACTCCTAACTACATTCAAGATCGCCTCTAAAAGCTTTGTGTGTTATTAGCAATTAATTATAACATAATGTGACTTCAAAGAACAACCTGCATGGATCTTGGGTAGGTAATATCTACTACTGAAATTAAAGAGATAAATACCATAACTTCATCATATTAAGACTAATAACTGTTCTATTCAGAGACGGGTTAAATTAACACGTCAGCACATAAACAAAATAACAACTTACTTCTAGGGCCTCATATATGATAGCGAATATGAAAGAGCCAAGACACGCTACAATCGCTTCTATAAGTTAAGAGTATGGTTTTAAGAAAAACATCATTTACTTCCAACTGTATCAATAATCCAGGATGAAAAAAGCAATGTATAGTGCATATCAGTATTGAAATACATCTATAAATCATTTTGTATGATAGAAATGAGTCATACTTTCATATCCATGGAATGATCGCTTGACTGCATACCAGCATGGGCCGGTGAATGATGAGAACCGTGGGCATGATCCATTCTTTTGGTTAGGTATGTTTTTAGATGAGGAGGATAGAAAACGTTCGTATTGGAAATGCTTTTAAAATAAAAAAGGAAAAATTTGATTGGGAACAACATGCAATTAATTGATTGTTTTCTGACTCATTGAATGCCAAAATCACGCCAACTATGTGGAAGATAACATATAAGGGTATGAGTAAAAACTGATATAGTAGTACATTGAGAGAACAGCTAAAAACGCTTCATGTGATTAATAGTTAACGTAGTGACACTCAAGGACGTTCTCATTGTTAAAAATATAGAAGAAAACAACGGCAACATAACCAGTCTTATGTTCTGACTTCTAGGACAACGATTTAGAAGTCATAATGGACTATAAAATGCCAGTTCTATACAGTTATGTTCTACAGCACGATGCTATAAATCACCGATATTTGCACAAATCTCTGCGGATTTTATGACGAATAAATTGCCTTTATCTGTCATGTAATTACTAGGCTTCTGAGACTACTCAAATACACGAACATTTTAATCATTTCTAGCGAATAAGCAAAAAGACATTGCAGGACACAGACTTATGCAAATTTTGTTGAAGGAACTTACACTTTGAAGATGCAATTCATATGCCGTAATTAACGACACTAATTACAAACTAAATGTAGTTTGAATTTTTTGTTGAAATGATTACTCATATGAATAAGGTTCTACTATAAGAATTGTTTTTTTAGCATTCGCTCATCCAGTTGTAGTAAAAAATTTTCACTTATAAATATAAAATTTCCCAAACAGTCGGCTACCAAAATAGGCCGTACAAAACGAAACGAAATACTTAAACATTACAATGTCAACAGAGAAGTAGTGTGTAGGATTCCTTAAGATTGGTTGCTTTTCGATTCATTCGAATGACTTAAATTCACTTATTAAGCATTTTATATTAGCATAAATGGGGGTCCTATAGTTATTCTACACTGACTATGTAAGGGCAATATACACTAATCACTCATTGTTTTTAGAAAGCTACATTACCTTACTATCTTTATTCAATATACATGTGGTTTGTTAATATTATTAACTGGTTACACTTTACAGGAGTGATTAATTTCAGAAAATCTGTTGTTTTCGAGAATGATTTCAAACTTCAAGTTGTCTGGGAATCCAAACAAAAATTAAGGTACTAAAAAATCCTGACAAATGCAACCGGCTATGGTAATTTGAAGTGACAGTCCCTAATCGGTTCACTGAAGTTGCAATGATTTATTTTTTGAATTTTGATATATTGTTTTTATGGGCATCGTAAACCTTCTAAAAATTTCCTAATTTATTGCTTTTATTAAATAGGCGACACGTCAACAGTCTATGAAGTTCGGTTGTATTGTTGAAGACCCCAACACCCATGAAGTGAGCAACTGGTTATTCATTAAAATATTTATGATTTTAACACTTACTTTTCTTTCAGTCTTAATTTCACTTTAGTGTATATGCTTGTAAATAACTGAATTACTCAATTCCACACAGTTGCATTAATGGTTTGCATTTGTGTGTATGTTGTCTAATTTCGTGTAGGTGGGATAATATCTTTCTAAGATATGTGTAATAATGTCCCTCAAGTCATTTAATCGCAGCGTAGAACCCGGTACCTATGTACATCGGTTTAAGTTGCTATGCCCCATTAGCACAGAGAAATGAAATAGTCAGGGCAAGTCCTAGTATGCTATTGGTAGTAACAGTATCAGCGGTAATAGTAAATATTAGGCATCGAAGATGATTAAAGAAAATATAAATTAGTAAAATAAAAACAAAAACAAGTTGTGGGGAATTCACAAGCTTAGGGTTTGGGGTAAGATAAAGAATGAACATGTGTTCCAGCCAATATATCTCATTAGAAGCAAGGTCAACTACTATATCAAAGTAGCAGCTACGGTCGGTAACATCCCTCAAAGATGTAATGTATGAAGATGTGTTCTACATGAAGCTATTGGTAATGCTTTTAATTCTACATATATACGTACATAAATATATATCTTTATTTATTCATTGTCTTGTTTAATTCTCAAATCGTTAAAGGTTATGCATTATGTCGAGAAGCCAGCAACGTTCGTCAGCACAACAATAAATTGTGGTCTTTACCTATTTACTCCTGGGATATTTAAATTTATTCGTATAGCTTTTCTTGAACATCAGAATCAACTAAAGTAAGTAATTTTCTCGTTAAGTTTTTTGAATATATGAGATTTAAATCAAGTTCGTAAATAGGCTTATTTAAATGACAATGATGAAAGAGTACTCAAAAATTCAGATGGATAATTAAAATTTTTCGTTAGGTTCTCCTAAAGCACTCTCAATTTATGCATGTTATCAGTCTGTACAGTTACTCACTGTTAGCTTAAGCTTTTACTAAGATATTCATACTTTGTGTATGGTACTTTTGTTATGTCAGGAATTAGTAGTTAGAGAATACGGTCGACTTACATCCAAATCAGACAGATAGATTAAGGCCTTACCATGTACTAAATTTTTCATACAACCTCGTTTTACTCTTTTTTACATATCTCGTACTTGTTTGTTTTGATATTTTACCATTCCTATTGCTATTTACTAGGTGCATCTTTGAGAAGTTCAACAATTAAAGACGATACAATTGTCTTTGATTGTAGCTAGTATCTTAAAATAGTGGTCTTACTTGGCTATCGTAATAATTAAATCAAGCTATGTTGATTGAAACACTTGTGTCTTGAAGTTTTAGACTATAAGATTTGTCATTTCGATATTAGTAAGAATGAACGCAGCAAGTGTAATGTCTGAGGAGTTATTGGGCCTGTTAACTGCCGAGTAATCACATTAGTTTAATTTTCTTAATCTGGTTGATGTTTTTTAGCAAGATTTTTTTCTACGGGATGGGGTTGCCGACCTCTGGGAAGCATCATCGATGAACAAGGATGATCGGATGCAGACGTAGAGGCGAGGATTGGCAAAGCAAGGGCCGCATCCCTACAATTGAAAAACATATCGAACTCAAAACAACTATCAACCAATATCAAAGTCACAATCTTCAATACGAACGTCAAGACAGTTCTACTGTATGGAGCTAAAACTTGGAGAACTACTACAACCATCATCAAGAAGATACAAGTATTTATAAACAATTGTCTATGCAAGATACTCAACATCCATTGGCCAGATACCATCAGCAACAGCCTTCTGTGGGAGAAAACAAACCATTTTCCAGCTGAAGAGGAAATGAAAAAAGTGCTGGAAGTGGATAGGGCACACATTACGAAAACCATCAAACTGCATCAGGAGTCAAGCCCTAACTTGAAATTCTGAAGGAAAACGGAAATAAGGAAGATCAAGGCACACATTGTGTCGGGAATTAGAAGCAGATATGAAAAGGATGAATAGCAACTGGAAAAGGTTGACCAGGATAGAGTTGGATGGAGAATACTGGTGCGGAGTTTATTCTCCTCTACGTCCTTTCTCGTCTATAGACCCGCAGCATGCTTCAACTCTCAACGATTAACATTCAGCAGTTACGAGACAATCTTGACTTCTATTGTTCCACAACACTGTCCCTCTTCTAGTTCAGTATTTAGATGAAAGCAGGAGAACACAGCACCAGGCGAGCTTTTATTAATGGATTTGAAGCGCCCGTAGGTTTATATTACATTAATTATCAGGCCGAATTACACCGCAAATTTGAAATAGTAGTTTATGCAGAAGTCAGGTTAATGTATTAGAAAGATGGAACAACTTGTGAATAATTAATTCAGAGTAATTAAATATTGGTCAAACATATGATAACAGTTATTAAGTCTGGAGAAAGCTTGCAGTATGGTGAACATAAAATTGTGATGATCCAATCATTTATTAATTATGCAATAAAGTTTTACCTAATAATTCTTCGTGAAATGACTTCAAAATATACGACTTCCCCATTACGAGCAGTTTAAGCTCATCAAAAGATTATGACTTTTTGTTTTTTCACAGATAAATTCACGAGTCGACTCGTAAACATTATGAATCACATTATAGAGTGGTAATAGTTGTCTTAATAATATATTGTGAAAATAGCCATTACAGAATTCATGCCTGTTTACGGGCATGATCAGCTTGATGTAAATAGTAAGATTGACTGTAAAGAACAAGTATGTGATATCAGATTGTTTTAAGTTTACTAGTTCAAAAATTGTTTAGGTAGTACATTTATGACATGTATTACAGCAATGAAATGCATTAGCTGGGGACTTTTAATTCTTCTTAAATGGGCACACTGTTGACGTATGAACAGTGCATTTAAGGTTACTTACTGTGCCATAACGAATTTATTATAACCATCTGTAATTAAAGAAAATAAAACAGATCCAGAGAGCACGTAACAAAAAGGGCAATTTTTTAAAGATATTATTCAAATTATTTAGTGTTGCCAGTGCTGGTGTTAATGTAAAGTAACAGCAGGTAGGTGGTTTTACTTAGTGGATTCAATAGTAAGAATGGCTAAACATTTACTCTTACAGGTGCTAGAACATTTAATGCATTTTCAGAGGAGCAGTAGGCATCATTTTAGCGAATAAAGGATGGAAGTGATCTTATCTTACAGTTAGATTGTGCTAGATTATTCCAGTGTCTGTAAAATTTACTGGTAAAGTAATTCATGAAGAGACAATTTAGAATGGATTTGTTTCAATAATGACAAGGAGTTGCGGAATTCATAATTAGAAGTTTCTGCATATTGAATCCCTTAACTGTATGTAAAGGATATTTTATTAAGTATTTTGAAAAGATTAAATTTAGTTTGAGTCTCCTCTCCCATAAAGCGTCGAGTCCATGTTTATTACATCTGGACTTATAATTTAAGACACAACCACTTCCAAGAATCCGAAGTGTAAATCGTCTCTATACGGATTCCAACCTTAATTTATCCTTTATGCGCACACTAACAAGAACAAACATTTAGTATTCTAGGAGTGGTCGAACACATACTTTGTACATCAAAATATGTGAGCATTGGGTATAGGTGCCAATCTCCTTATTTTGGGGGAAATGGCACAAAAACCGGGAGATTGAAGTAACAACAGAGTTATTATTATCCGAAGGTTTGGGGCTTTTTCGGGCTTGTTTTTTGGTTGTTGACATATTTTGTTATAATTGCTGATCCTTATGATATGTATGCGTTATATAGTAGGATTCAATAATATCTAGATACTTTCTATTAGGTGCCGTTTTATTGTAACGCATAGTTCAAAACTACTGCGAATATTAAGATTTGAAGTAGTTATAAAGGATGAGTACTGGTTTATGTTCATTTAATATAATATCCATTCTATTGTCATCACAAAATGTATTTAAGTATGGAGCAATTGTTGTATTATTTTTTTATGAAAAATCGAAATTGTCCAGGTGTCTAAGTTAATTGTTTAGTTTCTCGAAAATCATAAAAGTGACAGTTTATCACTTTTAAGTGTTCACTTGTTTATACCATTTCTAACGTTCGTTATTATATATACAATATAACACGTATTTGACTGTACATGGTTAATTATTATTGTACTGTTGTTCTTATTGTCCTGTAACCTTTAATAAACATGTCTTGTGTACTGGATTTTTCATTGATGAAAAGCTATACTTTGATTTGGTCAGTCTTTTTTTTTCTGTTTCTCTCATATCCAATTCTAGTTATGATTTAAGACCTTCATGCAAAGAAACTATTCATTTAGAACGAGAAATATGTCAACCGTTAGCTGGAAGTGGGACTTTATTTGTTTATCATACCAATCGGTTTTGGAGTCAAATCAAATTTGCTGGGTAACAAAATTTAAGAAGTTATCTGTTTATTTTCTCTATTTTTGTGAAAAACACATCAAAAGACTAGTTTTTCTTAGATGTGGTAATCTTTTATAATTCGTTATTAATTGTATTTGTTGGTGTATAATGTTTTGCATAAAAGTACCATTATTATCATTTACATAAGATGGGTTTTACATATTTGTGGCTAATTTTAGTTACTTCCAGCTTTAATTATGTATTTCAACACACTTTTCGATGTAGTTTGATCAGCTGTGAGTGCTAGACAAATATGACATTAACCATTACTCAGTGATCAATCAATGTATATATATCAGCCAAACAGGAGGCCAATCAAAACGCTCAGTCGTAGCGTTTTAGGCTGTGAAACTGAATGACACGTATCTGAATCCACCAGGGGAAATCAACTTCTTAAAAATTGCAGGTATGCCTTATTGACGAGTGCCAGCTAGCGCATAATTTAGGTCGAAGGTTTCTTGTTGACCACATTCAACCACCTAATGTATATGGAAAAAGGAATTCAACATGACTCACTTAATTGACATGCTAAACCAGTAAACTATATGGTTGTAAAATTTTTAGTTGAAGTTTAAAGTTTGATACGTCGTTAAGATACTTGGGAGAAGCTTCATTATGGTTAGTGTAGATCACAATGCTTTTCACATAATGTGGAACCCTAATGATTTATCACTGAGCCAAATTTTTGTATTGCATTCAGATTTGAGTGAGATATTTTTTATTCTGATCAAAACTCCTCCCTTAATATGCATACACGTTGACTGTTTCAGAAAACTGAATTGATCGTATTTTCTTATTGTCACCAACAGAACTAACCTTCCGCTATAATATCAATAATATAAAAAGCAATCAAACGGCGTATTTTTAGGAGGCACAGTGAAACTGATACAACACACAACACTTATATCTCCTGTTATCTGACAACCTTAGACGTATTTTGTTTGTTTGGAATATACATTCGATTTAGTCGTGTAATCATCCACTAGTGTTAAGAACTGAAACTCTAGGTTCCTTATGCCCCTTGTTCAGTTGAAGAATAACACATCACTTACCGTTACTCAGTGTTTATGTAATGGAAAATATCACAAACAAATCCAGTAGGTTTCTGAACCTGAGTTGGTGATAATTATGGTAGTAATTATGCACATGAAGCATTTTATTTCGACTGTTGTATTCTCTATTATAGAATATCACTACTCACATCAACATGTTGTGCAGTTGATCTTTTATAGACTGACATCATAATAATACCTCTGACTGAGGGAATTAACATATCTCCTACGAAACTAAATGATACAAAGTTTTATCTTAGTACTCTCTGATTTATATATACATATGGCCTAGATGGGTTAACTTTTTCAATTCATGATAATCCAACCTCTGTGTTATCGACGGTTTATGAGCAAGAAGTCTGATTACATTTTCCTTGACTAGAAACAAGGCATTTTTCTAAAAAATAAACACACAATTCGATACAAGTGAGAAAAAACATAAATTTATTTAATCACCAAGACAGACAAAGAAAATATACTAATTTTTTCGTATCATTTTTACTGATAACTAGTTAGATGTCGACTAAACGTAGACTGAACTGAACTCCGATTAATCATTTGATGTCAGGTCAGTAGTAATTACAGAGTCACATAATTAACCTCTTTCCGTAGTTAAATATCGTTACTATATTGTTTTGATTGATTTAATTGCGTAATTTTATAATTTGTGGATATTCCATAGACAAATTGAATCTATGAGCCTATCTTAACAATACGTTTTCCACCAAACAGGGATGAAAAGCTGTCGTAATCCAAATACACTTATTTCAACTTGTTATTCAGTTCTATATTCCAATTGAAATTTAAGTCCAGGTAGTCTGTGTCAGGGCGCATCAATTTTATATATTTAGTTTTGCAGTTTAGTCACATTAACTAAAGATGAGTGTTTTTTACTTTATACATGAAGTTCAGTTGCACCACATAACAGTAATCTCTAAATAAGTTTACAGAGATTTATTTGTTTGGTAAATATCTTTAATCGTTATACAAATTTCAACTAATATATAAATGTAAATTTGGATGTGACCGTTGTTTCCCAGTTATTACTTTTTAATATTGCCTATCTTCAATCTTACTACCTGGTATTATATTTTTTAAGTTCAGAAATTTTGTCATATATCTTGATAACTGATTATCTCATTTTATTTTTGTTCAGTGCTGTAATCTACGCTAATCGTCATATATTGTCACTTTATGAAAGAACCCATCCTCAAAGACTTGCTAAAATGACAATACCAAGTTCATCAAACCTACAGATGTTAGATGATCCCATTAATTCATCATTAGTTGTGATGAATGGCAATTGCCAACCATCGATTTGTGGACCGATTATAATTGGTCATGTATTCATACATCCAACTGCTTCAATCGACCGAACAGCTGTTGTAAGTAGACATGTGATACGAAAAGTGATTTATTCTTATAATAATGTCAGAATGATATTAAGCAGTGAATCAAAAGTCATACTGTGTTCATTTGGATATAAAAGAATCTTTTGAACTTTATATTATTGAAAATATTTTCACCAGCATACATGCATAGAAATAAAGCAGTTGTAGCATAACGATTTCATTATTGAAGTTAATAGAAATATCCGATTTGTCATGGACGATAATAAAGACTAGTACGAGTACCAGTTCAAGTTGTCATATCACGATTCGTTACTAAAGAAATAGACCAGATAAAAGGTAGATGATAGGAACAATAATATCTATGTGAGTAAAAGCCTAAACATAAGCAATCTTTTTTCAAAAGTAATGAATCGGAATAAAGGATATAAGGTATAATGTTATACTAAGCTAATGCTTTAGAGCAAGATAAAAGATGAATGTATCGACATCATTGAAAGTGATTTCGAGCAAGATCACTACATTTTTAATCATTGGTTTTAGATTTTAAGCAGAAAGTCTGCATCTCTCCATATGACTTTCTCTGCTAAAGAATCCCATACTAGGACGAAATAGCTGTCCAGTGCTTCCAGATTTTCAATGAGGGTCTAACACTGTTCAATTCATGATCTCTATCAAAAACTCAACAAGTTTTACCACCCTATACTGATGTGTTTTATTTATTCACTTCCATCAACATAATTTCAAAGTAGCTTTGTGACTTTAAGAGTCTTCAAACTTTTTTGTGTTTTGCTAGGCTTTTCAATGATTGAAGGGAATCCCTATGGTATCTGCTTACCTTATATTCGTTCAGTTTCAAACTATAAAATTTTCAATTATTTTAAACGCTTATAAATTTTAACAAATAAAAAAGCTAACTATTTAAAGGAAACTGAAAACAGATACATCTATGACATAGTAATGGTATCTGGTCCACATAATTATCTAACTGCTTGTTCTTAGTCGATACTATTTATTTTGCTATTTTATTACTGACCCACATGCTTCATTTGAGAAACATACAATCCCGTATATATAGCGATAGTGTTATTTTTTTTATCTGACTGCCCTGTCGCTTATAACCTTTACATTAAAGTAAGGGAATTTATGTTTTCGTTTCAAATCATATCCAAAGATCATTTTCAGGTTTTAGTAGTTTAAACAGAAAATACTTGTTTGCAAACCGTTTAGAAAATAGTGTAAGCGTACTAATGTATCATATAATTCTCAATATACTTATATTAAAAATTTCATAAGATTAATTTTTAAGTTCTGAGTTAATCGATGTATTTTCTTTTTGTTAAACTTTAATCTGCTAAACGTTTAAATCTAGTTCTTATGATTATGGTTTTTTTTTCTATCGATTTTCAGATAGGACCTAACGTAAGTATAGGTGAGCGAGCTGTAATACAAGCAGGAGTACGTCTACGAGAATGCATTGTACTCAGGGATGTTGAGATTCGTGCACACGCTTGTTGCCTGAATGCAGTAATTGGATGGAATACAGTTATTGGGGAATGGGCTCGTGTTGAAGGTACACCCAATGATCCTAATCCTAATAAGCAATTTACCAAACTTGAAGTTTTACCTGTTTTCAATGTTAAAGGTCAACTAAATCCATCCATTACTGTGATTGGTAAGTCTAATCTACTGCTGATTATTACAATCGATGGATAATGAATATTTATGATCTGCCATAACAGATAATATAAAAAGTAATATAATAATAAGTAGAGAAGATTAAATATTATCTAATTTAAATCAATATCTATGTGTGCGAAATGAGTATATGTAAATGATAATCATTGTGTGTATTATTTATACCAATTTGACCGAGTCTAGAAATTGGCAGGGATTCTAAAGTTACTATCAAGTGTGGTTTTCACATTGCGTAGTTTATTATTATCTCTGTTTCCCCTTACCTTTTAATTTGTCTAGTTGCATAAATAGTCTTAACAAGTATATGTGTGATCAGATTGCTCAAAATGCGCAAATATGTTACATATTTCTGATGACCTTTGTTTTCTCATCGCATTATCCAAATTTATCAAAGGGACTAGTTGTTTTTCGAACATATTTGTATGTATGCATGCTGCGAAACTATCCGAAGATACTAAGATTCGCCTCTGACCTGAAGACCATTGCAATTGACAGTCTCAAATACACTGGTTACACGGCTATTAAATGCTTTCCGAGTTTCCTTTCAGTATGCTCTTCGTCTCAGGATATTGTTGGCCGAAATTTACAACATTTAGTTTTACTGTCAGCCAAACCAATACATTAATCTCATCTCATTTCTAAACCGGTCATCTTTCAGTAATACTTTGAATTTTGTCATAATGCTGTGATCGTTCACAGGGTTTTAAATGGAGCATCCTACTTCATAATTGAAAAATTCAAATGGACATTTATCAAGAAAAATTATTACATCTGATGAAATATATCATGTCACCCAGCTTACTTATAACAGAATTAACATTCCTCCTCGTATTTACTGTACGTACCAACGACTATCCACCTACATCGTTTTTGGAGACTAAGGGGCTATCCAAAATCGATTCAAATATGCATTATGCAATCGTATAGGTGAAGTTATTTTTGGTTCTGTTGACTGTTCGGAGAGTTGGTTAGAAGCCGGGTGTATTTTAAAACAATATGTTTATTCCAAATAAGTATTTAGCGCCTTTTTAAAGTCCTGTTGAAAGAGGTTATGTGCTGAATGGTCAACTACTAAGTTACTATACTTAATAACTAATACAAATAAGTTCTGGCACAGCTAGAAGCTGAAAAATATGTTTGCTACACAAATAAAGAAATAATATTGAGAATAATTAAATGAAGGGAGGGGAGTATAATGGAAAATTAGTGAACAAGAACCGTGTGTAACACGGAGAAACATACCTGTTAAAATAAACAAAGAATGGTTCCTGTCAGATAGGAGAGGGAGGTTTATATGGTACACTTAGATTCATGAATTCGTATGCAATGACAGCATTCATGAGGTCACCATCCAGTCATCTGAAACCGTTTAAGAAAAAAAACTTGACAGAGACGAGCTTTTGATGTGCTGAAGTATAAAGGTTAACACAGAATGAAAGTTTAGCAAAATAGAAAAATGAAGCAACATAAAACAAATACATTTAAATTAAGTAGACAGCCTGGAGTCCCTCCGGGGGCTACTGCCGGTCCCAAGCCCGGACAAAGGAGGAGGGTTGGGCATGGGGATAGCGACCCCACCCCGTAGAAAACTAACTCGTTAAAACAACGCTAACCAGAAAAAAAATTATTCAAACCTTTAAAACTCTGTCCTGGGAGTCAGAAGGTCTTCATTTAGAAAAGTTATGACGCCTCATGATGAATGCCGAGTTCCTTCGAAAGTCACGAGACCGATGTCCCTTCTGACAACCAGAGCAACTATTTATTTAGGTACATGGAATGCTCGTACAATATGGGAGACCAGGAGAGTCTTCCAAATTTCTTCAGAAATGAGGAGATACAACCCAGAGGTGCTTGGGATCAGTGAAATACATTGGACGCAAGTTGTACGACATCGACTAGCTTCAGGGGAGCTTCTTTTATACTCCGGCCATGATGATGAAAATGCCCCACATACACAAAGAGTTGCATTGATGCTGTCCAAACAAGCACAAAATGCACTTATAGGACGAGAATCTCATGGAACAAGGATCATCAAAGCCTCCTTCAAAACAAAGAAAGAGGGCATTTCAATGAACGTCATCTAATGCTATGCGCCTACCAACGACTACAATGAAGACGCTAAAGATCAATTCTACGATAAGTCGCAGTCAATCATCGAGAAGTGTCCAACAAAGGACCTGACCATTCTGATGGGAGATTTAAATGCCAAGGTTGGAATGGACAACACCGGATATGAAGACATCATGGGACGATATGGAATAGGAGAAAGGAACGAAAATGGTGAGAGATTCGCAAACCTATGTGCCTTCAATAAACTGGTCATAGGCGGCACCATATTCCCACATAAACGCATTCACAAAACCACATGGATTTCACCGGATCACACTACGCAAAACCGAATTGACCATATCTGCATGAACAAAATGTTCAAGAGGAGGATGGAAGATGTGAGAACCAGGAGAGGAGCTGATATAGCATCAGATCATCACTTGCCGGTCACCGAGATGAAATTGAAACTCTAGAAGTACTGGAAAACGATGCAGACAATATCACAAAAGTTCAATACAGCTTTTTTTCTGAATACTGACAAACTCAACAAATTCAAGATAGTCCTGAGCAATAAGTTTCAGGTCTTTCATGATCTACTGAATGGAGAAGGAACTACTGTGGGCAGCATCATCGGTGAACATGGTGGATCTGATGCAGATGTGAAAGCGCGGATCGGCAAAGCAAGAGCTGTATTTTTACAACTGAAGAACATCTGGAACTCAAAACAACTGTCAACCAACACCAAGGTCAGGATTTTCAATACAAATGTCAAGACAGTTCTACTGTATGGGGCAGAAACCTGGAGAACTACAAAAGCCATCATCCAGAAGATACAAGTGTTTATTAACAGTTGTCTACGCAAAATACTTCAAATCCGTTGGCCGGACACTATTGTTAACAATTTGCTGTGGGAGAGAACAAACCAAATCTCAGCGGAGGAAGAAAGCAGGAAGAAGCGCTGGAAGTGGAGAGGACACACATTGAGGAAAGCACCCAACTGCGTCACAAGACAAGCCCTCACTTGGAATCCTCTAGGCCAAAGAACACATTACGCCGGGAAATGGAGATAGACATGAGAAAAATGAACAAGAATTGGATGGAATTAGAAAAGAAGGCCCAGGACAGAGTGGGTCGGAGAGTGCTGGTCGGCGGCCTATGCTCCATTAGGAGTAACAGGCGTAAGTAAGTAAGATAGCAAATATCGGTTTAGCTATTAATAAAGGAAAGCAAATGGATCATTTTTCTGTTATTATCGATTATCATATTTGTGAGTTTAACGAAATACTACCTGATAGCCTCAGGCCAAAAAATCAGTTTTTCTAGGGGTCACAGTGCGTGCAACCCGATAGAAGCCAGTGACTAAGTTTGATTGAAATAGCTGTCGTCTCTCCAGTTTCTTGTTGGTCATTCTACACTAGTTGAAAATCAGGATTTTCCAACTCCTTAAGGCGAACGCTTTACATCTACCAACTCGGTTTAAGGCCGGGCGTTCATTTTCTACTCTATTATTTTCATCAAATACATCTTCAGCACGTGAAGATAAACCCTATGACCACGGGGTTTTATGAGAGCATTTTAAGAATGAGGGAGAAGTTTTTGGACTTTCGGCTGTACCAAAACACTTGAGGTCAGATGATTACGTTCATAGATCCAATTACTAGAATACGTATTAATAGAGATAATCATTTCGAAACATAATTTAATTTCTGTTTAATAATGTAGGTTTTTTTTATTCCTTTAAAATTTACATTTCAAAGCTGTATTCAATCCCTAACCAAACATTTCATTTCATAAAGTTGTAAGAACTGAAAGTCAGTCAGTCTTATGATTTATTGAATCGTATTACTGTTCATATCATATATATGTTGTTTTAAATTGATATCTATAACTTTTCCCCCCTGATTTACTTTCGTCTTAGGCTCCAATGTGGAAATTCCTCCTGAAGTTATTGTTCTGAACTGTATAGTTTTACCACATAAAGAATTATCACAAAGCGCCAGAAATCAAATTATTTTATGATATACATGTATTCAATTTATATCAGCACACAAATGTGTGTGTGTGTTTGTACGGGAGACAATATTGTGTATACAATTAAAGCAACTACCAACTAATTTGTCTCAACTGTTTATTTTCATATGTATTTATTAGGCGGTTTGGTTAATATTTAAAAAAATATTAGGAAAGTATGTACATTTTTACTTGATACTTATTTCCCGAAAAAAAAGTACTATTTACTTTATTCTTTCTTATATACGTGACAAGCATGATAATATTTTCCTTTGATTATTTCATTATGATTTATTTATCGTTTTGATCTGTTTTCTTTTTTTTGTTGCTCGAAAAAACCCAACTGTAATTTAATTTTAAACTTGTTTATTGTTTTGTTTTCTATTTTTAAAAAAAATTTTTTTTTTTGCATAATTGGACTGATCTTCTTTGTATCCATTGATATTGTACGTTAGTAGTTTTAAATAAGAATGACCGTTTCTATCCTTTCTATATATTATTTTATAATATCGTTTTTCAGTTTAATTCTCTTATATTAATTTATATAAAAGACAATAATTTTTCATTATTTATTATCATTGATTCTATTCATTGATTTGCTTTTTTCTTAGTTCCATAGTTTTCTCTTCTTTTTTTTCTTTCGTGTTTCTTATATTATTCTAGTATGATTTCGAAGCACTAATGAACATGTTTGTTTAATCCTCAATTATTGAATTAATTCATTAACTTGATGAAATAAATTTTTCTTTAATAGAAATTTATATAGTTCAAAAAATTAATTTAATCTGTAAAGCTGTTAGATTAAATCTAGAATGAGTGCAACATAAAATCACGGTTCATTAAGTTAATAGAGTAGTTAAATTAGTAATGATTTTATTATGATTAGAAAATATGTGGTATTGAACATTGTAATTGATTTTTAATTGTTAAACTATTATAGATGTAGAAGATGTACCTTAAGAATTCTTTAAATAAAAAAGTATCAATAATTAGTAATTTGCAAAACGAAATTCAATTATAACTAACTGAGTTCACGAGATTATTTGCTGTATACGGTTTTATTGTACTTGAATCTTACAGTCATATAAGCATCAAAATCAGACTTAGCTCGAGTAAAATGTATTTTAACGATAATTTGATGTGATAAATAAGAAGAAGAACATGTAGTATGGATGTAATTTGAAGTAAGCAATTATATCGATTCATAGAAAGGCAGTCCAAAGATTTCGATGGTTAAAAGAATCAATGATCGGAATAAGGAGAACTAATTCAGCTCTGTTTCAATTAATCATAATCCAGTTACAAACTGAATTTTCAGTCAATTTTAATTCTAACTTGAGGAAACTAAGAAATCTTACGCTGGAATTAAAACTTAGAACCATACGAGCCGCAACTAAATCATAAGCATGAAAATGGCTTGGTTGTAAACGAGAGAATCAGAATCATCTGCAGATTTTAGCTGTGAACAGTTGGTCACCATCTGTATTTATAAACATATACATGTAATTTTCTAGTATCCTGTGATCGGTACCTAACATATATACAGGACGTTGGGATAGTGAATCAGATGGTGGTTGGAGGTAGTCAACAGGAAACCCTGGACCCGGGTTTCGTGCTACTTGGCACTCGTCAGCAAGGTGTACCTGTAATCTTGAGGGAACTGGTGCTCCCTGGCGGATTCGATCTCGTGTCACCCAGCTTCACAGTCAGAGACGTTACCACTGAGCTATCCGAGCCGTGATTAACCTCCTGTAGGACTGAGATGTAATTACAATTGATTGATCACTGGGTGGTGATCAATGTCTTGCTTGTCTAGTCCTTATTAGTGCAGATCGAATGCTATCGATCATGTTGCAATGTGGCCACCCGGGTCCAGGGTTTCCTGTTGACTACCTCCAACCACCATCTAAATCTCAATACATAGTGCCCGCAGTGTCGAGTCACCTAGATTGGTGGCCACATTGCAACATGATCGATAGCATTCGATCTGCACTAATAAGGACTAGACAAGCAAGACATTGATCACCACCCAGTGATCAATCAATTGTGATAGTGAATCAGGTTAACGTGTGTGTGGGGGATTTCCGGCATAAATAGAAGCGTGTCGGGTTGCCTTTTGATTGTTTCTAGACGACGTGTCGTTCCTGTTTGAGTCTTTCATTGTGTGTACAATATCCCTCAAAGAAACGAATCCTACGTAAGAGATAAAATATTTAAAAAATCCAGTAGACCGCTCATACTAAACAATATTTGATTTCTGTCCAAATATATAATAAAGGAATAATATATGACTACTTGGTTAAATTATGTAAAACACAAACTCCTACACATGTTATTAGAAAGTGCCAATGATCATTTTCAAATATGTCAAAAGTGAAAATTTATGAAATTTTTTCATCAGTCATTTGTATGGGTTTATCCGAACCCGAGGGTTGATGTTTATATGGATCTCGTAAAATATTTAGAATCTGATTATCTATCCTAAATTTAGCTGTACCTAGCTTTTCCTATTTATAAATTGTTCAATAGTCAAGTTGAATACTGGAATAAATTAAGAAGTGTTTCATTTCTATGTGACACATTCAGTTAGTGTATGATTAATTTCATTATATGAGAAAGTGGTCGATTCAGTGTAGCTTTATGTTTAGTGCTTAAAACCATCCACCCAAACTAAAGCAAAGGATATATACATGTATGTCTTAGATTCTCCTAATATCAGAAATTAACACTGGAATTATATAGATATAAATCAGCTAATATGCTTGAGATTCAACAATCCATTGTGTGAAATCTATACTTTGCAATCAATTTTACCACGTTTAACCTTGGAAAGGTTTGATAGTTTATCTGAGAAACATTTTTTAGTACATAACTTTCTTATATTGATGAAATGTTTTTGGTAAATTTCTTTTGCTTTGTTTTTATTTACATCAAGCCGTGTTAATCTGGAAGACCGCTGAATACTAAGGAACATTGAATAGCTGTTTCTTCCTAACTCGATACTCCTGATGGTAATCTATATTTTAATAGATATTAACAGACTTGGAAAATGGACTTTGTCGCTAAACAGTCGTTTGTTCAGCATGAGAACCAGAACGAAGTTTATATTTACGAAGTTATGGTCATAGCCTTAGAACAGTGGAGAGAGTAATCTTATGGCATAATGTTATGACGCTCATATAAGCTTTTATTGCTTAATATTTCTGGACACTACTTCACTCGACAAGTCTCCAAATCAGAACACTGTTGTGCAGGAACGTTAGTGTATTTTATAATTTTTGTACAAGATTATTCTAGAGTCTTCTCCAAGCATCCGCTAGCGTTGACTGGATAAGAAATAGTCAATCAGCGTGCTTCAACAATACTGCACTGAACACGCTTCAATCCAATCTATATCACGCCAACACATAATAAACTTGTAAAAAATATATGGAGATTGAAGAGAACATTTATAGTTTAAGCTAATAATCTATGTTCACATAATCCATTTATGTCATCCGAACATTTCAAACCACTATGATTTCTCCCAATCCTAGGAATAAAACTGAATTGTTTGTTCAGTTTTTTAGATTCACGTCATGTTTAATATCGCGAAAGTGGCTATGATGACTTCTTAATCGTCTGAGATATGATTTATAAAGGACTATATACGTGCATTTCTGTCCTTTGAATTCATCCGTTTTATCACGTAATTTTTCATGATTGACTTTACATATTATACGTTCTTGTTCGCATTTCTCTTTGAACGTTTCATTGTAAGAGTTTCAAATCCTTTAGCTGTGAAAATTAATCTACTTAGTGTCGACTAATCCTCTTTGACATATGACTAGTTTTCTAACAAAGTAGGATTGATATATTCTTTTTCTTTTGTGGTCCATTAACATTACTTTTTTAATCTAGTTTTCAGCAACCCATCTTTTTTGAATACATTTCTCTATCTTTTGACAATCATTTTCAAGTACCTGTCGGGGATAGCTCTGACTCCATCATAGTGCGATCTCAAAAACCATATTAATGACTTGCCGTAAGAAATCTGTGGGATGTTTTGTAAGGTCTAAGTTTGTTTACGAAGGGTATAACTTTGGCAGACCCTATCATATTTTTGAAAGATATCTAAGTATCACTTTTCCTCAAGTTTTGCGGTAAATTCGATACTCGAATAAAGCATTATTAAGTTGTAAACATTATTAAAATACTTGCCTGGTATAGAATAATAAGTGTATTCTTTTTAAATTTGCAACAAATTTATAAACGAGGATTGACCCACATAACCGTACAATTTGATGAACAGTGTAACTTATTGTTAAATGAAAGCTGTCAGCAGTCTTAGGAACATTGGTATGAATCTGCTTCGTTATTAATGACCAATAGTACCAGTTGCGTCATCTGTTACTAGTGTTTGTATATCTCTCTGAACACAGATTATAACCCTCTTTTATCTCTAGCGACCACAAACAATTTCATCCGGTGGCATGTTTTCGATTACCTGATTTAGGTTATAATCAATTAACATATAATTAAAACAACTATTTGAATCGGAAACCGTAAGCATGTACCTGAATGAGATTAACACAAGACTATCAGCTCTATGCTAGGTTCAAAAAACCATATCTAATCTACAAGAACTGACAGGTTAACTCTGGATGTCTATAGATATGGTAACCTAATTTTAGCGGTTAGATTGATATACTAATTGGAAGCTAGATATAATTCTATCTGATTAATCTATATGGCTGACATTCTCAGTTTAGTAGAAAGTGAAAACTTCCTTTCGTGTTATCTAGAAAGTGATTAATTATGACTAGTGTAGCGTTTAAAATATAAAATGCATAAACATTTGACCGTAGGTCGGAGCTCAGGACAAGTAAACCAGGAAAAACAGATTGAATCCAGACCTCGAACTGTGGACCAAATGCTCATTTCTTTTCACTGTTTTGAACGTAGGGATACTTACACATGTAGAAGAACCAATAATTAATGCTAAAGTACAGCACAGTAAAAAGACGAAATCCATTAACTAAGTTATAAATGCTACGTCTGCTTAACCACCGCCTACCATGATATACAGTGCTTGTTAACATAAAAGATTCAGAAAACGCTTATATTGGTCAAATTTAGTCAGATTGCTGGTTGGAGCTGTCGGACTTTTCAGAATTCCTGGTTGGAGTTCATACTATACTCAAATTCCTGTGCTTTATATGTCTATATTGAAGGAATTTCCCTTTCTAATTACATCTATTATTTTGAAAACATGTAACTGATTACTGTACACTTGACTTTTAGTCAATTCTCCATGAATACAGAGGAGTGTAACTCAATATTGTTCTGTTTAAAGAATAAATTGAAAACATCAGAAAATGAAACAGATACGATAAGAAATAATAATTTATCATTTAAAATGACACAATAGTTTAGTGTTTACATACTACTTATTACATGTTAACTTAGAAAATAAATAATATTAGCATTTTTTTTTCAATTTTTTTTTTATTGCACTCAATTAACTCACATACATTAGTTAAAAAATTACAAAAAAAAAATGTTGAACAGTATGAATAAATTGAAGACGAATTGAGTGCTTATTATTATAGTTGTGTTCCTAAAGGAAAATGGTTTTTATTATAAATAAACATTTAAAAAAATAAAAATAAAACAAAACACAGAAAATTGATCATGACAAAGAGGAGGAAACAAACAATAATACAAGAAGTAAAATAGAACAATATAATTGATCATCAATAAATGGACACGGACTATACTAACATAAATTAGGATCATTGAAATGTAAGTAACGTTATGGTAAAACGAAAAGAAAGAAAAAAACAACCAACTTTTTTATTCAGTGAAATGAGATATGAAATTTTTAACAATGAACACGTTTTTATAATGAAAACACTGAAGGAAAAAAATATACAAAATAATCATTACGAATATAAATGAAAGCTGAAAAAGATGGATTTAAAAAAAAGGAGTTAAATAAATAATTGATTAATGGTTATTAGGTGAGTGTTCTTTATGGGAATTATATACAGGTGATTGTAATAATGTAGCATTTGTAATTTCACAATCTAATTGCAGCACAGTTAAAATGGAATCTGAACTATTATAATAATTATCTTCACCATCAACAGACGATCCTATAGAGGTTTTGAAAAAAAAGATAAGGTTATATGTCTGATAATTAAAGAAACTGTTGCCGACACCAACTATTTAAATATTGATCATGCCAAGCAGATCTGATTTGATATTTAATATGTAACGATAATTAACAAAACTTTTTAAGTCACTGATCAACTGAGGCTCATGTGCAACGAAGAGTGAGATTTCAGTTTTAAATAAATTTATTTCAGATGAGTTTTTGTGGTTCAAGACATGAAAGTATCATTCAATAAGCGGTTATCGTTTCAGCTCACAGAATCAATACTCACATTTTTATAACCATTTTCACGAGTCCTCCATCCAAGAAGATGGGTGCGTAAAGAGCCCCATAATTGAACACCTTAAGAGCACGAATCGTTCAATCAAAAACAGACTTAGGGCTGAAAGACACTCATAAGGGAAACACAAATCCATCAAAGACAGTAAAATTATGTATTCTTAGGGTTGGTGGAGTATTTTTCATGCATCTAGTTAAGTCAGAACTGTACACAAAAGAAATCTGTCCAACCTCCAGTTTCCCAAGGTTATTAACCTCTTCCATTGACCGTTTAACCGATTTGTTTTATTTCCATTACCTCCTGATGATAGTTCATTCCAATATTTTATTTTATTGTGTTATACAATACCCCTACTGAATTATTACTATTTAACTTCTATGACATTTTTATTGAGTTTTATGATCCCAACAATATTTTTTAATTTCCTAGTAGCTTTTCTTCTCTATGCTTACTAAATTAATATCTTTGACAAACATATTACTTATTATCACTGTAAAAAAGTATATATTTGAGATTTTACAGTTTGTAGAAATGAATTCATTGAAACGAGAGATGTTATGTGAATGAATTGCTCTTACTTTTATGATTTATAACACGAATTTAGGAAAAAATATGACACATAGGTGTGAGAAATAGGAAAATGAAAACATTTTATGAAATTGTATTTACATTAACTTTTAAGGAATAAATAAATGGAACGTGGAGATATTATTCACACAAAAGTCGAGTGAGAATCGGACATTGTTTTGTGCACTTGAAATTCGAACAATTACCTAGGTGATGACGTTATGTTAGAAACTAAAACGAAGTCGACAGTTTTGCAAAAACATCGTAATTACTCTCTACATATAAATGTTTATGAACATTCATAAAAGCGTAAATTAAGGTGTATACATTCAAGCGGTTAAAGATTACGGACACCAAATGAATGTAGTAGAAGATAATAAACATTTCACTTCTACCTGAAGTTTGTGCTGATGATGTCGTTCAGAAGAACGATGAAAGCTCCATGACCAAACTATCCAGCTCAGAGAACAAAACTCCGTCAAAATCATCTACCTGAGCTACAAATCTCCACCATCTCAAAGCATTAAACCTGCATTCAATAATTCATATAGAATTTTTAAATAATATGTTCAATACGACTGTTAAAATGAATTATTTGATTTACGGAAGGATTAATCATTTTAAACTTATTTGAATGGCAGAAAAGTAACGAGAATTCAGTGAAAATATATTAGTTATTTCTAAAGAACATTAACTAATAGGATTATTGAAAGAATAAAACAAAGCCTGTGAACTTTTCTATTTATTTATTTGTTGTTGAGCACAACAGACGTTTCTGAAAAAACGACTACTGTTTCAATGAGATAGGTATTTAATGAAACGTTACACAAATTGAAAATACTGTAGAAAAATAGGTTAACAGAAACCCTTACAAAGAAAACCACCAAGTAAACAATAAAAGATAAGGTAACGCCTTAACTTTTATTTGTATTAACTTATTTTGGCCACTAACCAATGAATTACCTATAAATTATGATAGACAAGTGAGAAGTTGGTCATAATCATGATCAATACATATATAAAAACATTTCGTACTTTAAAAAAAAAACGCTTAACTCTTAAAACAATATGATAAAAGTTTGCGTTGCACCAGATTTCTTAGCAAGCATAGCATAGAAATGGTAAACATTTTAAATAAAGTATAACTTTTAATGAAAATGTATCAAGACTATTTTCCATTAAATAAAACAGCATAGAAAAATAAGATGAACATCAATAATATAACAGCTAGCAAGAAATATATATATATATATATATATATATATATATATATATATAACACAAGTGAATACTGTTATATTCTTAGCTAAACGATTAACGCAAAATACGAATGCCGATTTAGATACGCTGACTTATACGACCAAACTAATGACTCATACTCCAGTACGAACGGACTAAAGCTCCGATTGATTCTTTTTTGTCTAGCCTTACTTGTTAAGTCCAGAACGCCAATCTCAGCCTCCGCAGTATAAATCATGTATTTCAAACATACTTGGTTTATAAACAATCGAAATCAAACAACACACCATAAAATAGGAAATAGCATTCGTACAAGATCAAGCCAAAAGTGGCTGTGATTGTGAGAAACTGTGACTAATAGATTGAGAATAACTCCAGAACAGTAAATCATATAACAGTAACCAATAGGTCAAACAAAAGCTTATAGTGAAAGGAATATGAATATGAATATATATAGTTCATTAATGGTCATATAGTAAGGATATTTGCATAATATTAGGCCATAAATAATTCTTGACGGTTACCACTCATTTATTCTCATCCGGATGTAACAAATACAATTCAAAATTTACACCAACCTTGAGGGGAAATTGTAAATTTTTATACTTAATTTATATTTTATTTTGTGGCCACTCAGATCGAAAAATTCTCTCGTGCTTATGTTAAGACACCTTTTGTAATTATTTTGTTAGAAATTCGAAAGCTTATGATTAAAGCCAATGTTAAAATTATTCCTTCATAATTTTGGTATTGATATTACTTATATTCAATAATTATTATGTTTACTTTTGTTAATTTTTCATTCATGATATACGCGCTCCATTTTTTAGAGTTCAAAAGCAACTAATATATATTAATAAATTAGAACACAACTGCAAAATTCCATTTGTTCTCAATTTTTTTTAAAGAGATAACTAACAGATGAAATGAATTTATATATAGTGAATATAAAAATCGGATAAGTGGTTATGAATATTTATGTATAGTTAATAATTTTTTTTCCAAGATTATAATTACTCTATTGTTTATATCTAATACTGTAACACTTCAATGATGTATAATAATTTTAAGTAAATTTCAGTATAAACAATTATATATATCAAGTGATATGTAGAGAAATTTTATTAAACTCTCTTAAGTAAATAGTATTATTAGAAAGAAATAATGTATACATTGACCAAAAATGTGATTATCTACATTATGGGTTGGTAGTCAATAATAATATATAGATTAATTCTAATAGAGATATCATAAAATAATGGTACTCATAAATATAGAATAGAATAATTATTTTAGGGTTAACTATTTTCTTCTAGTAATATAAAGGTAGGAATAAAGAAGAAATTAAACTTATTTTGTTGTTTATACAAACATTGATCTTATTATCTAATTGAATCAATAAAGAAGATAGAAAATATCTAAAGAATTTAGTATGTATACTATTTAGATTTTCGTCTTTTTTTGTTGTTGTTGAAGGAATAAAGTAATATTTCATATTTTAATTAAATTTTTATCATAGCTCTGAGAAATTTTGCATAAGTTTCACAAGAGATAATGAAACACAAACAATGAAATTAATGGTAACTTTAGTGAGATTTGTTATATCCTAGAGAAGATTAAATTATGGGTAACTTCTGGAAGCTATTAATGAACTAATATTATATATATATATATATATATATATATATATATATATATATATATATATATATATATATATATATATATATAGTATAACTATTGAGTAAGGGCATTATTTTGACCTACAGACTATTAATATAAGATTTACTATTCTTAAGTTATACTCAGTTTATTAATTACAGTTTCACACAATCACAGCCGCTTTTTGGCGTGATTTTGTACAAATGTTATTATCTATTTTATGGTGTGATGTGGTGTGTTCGGCTTGTATAGAAACCAAGGTATCTTTGAAATAAATGATTTATATCATAGAAGCTGATATTGGTGTTCGGGACTCAACAAGCAGGGCTAGGCATGTAAAAATGCCAATAAAGACAGTGTTAAGATTGTCTAAGTTGTATTGTGATTAGCGAGTAAATCAGGTGATATATAACAGGCGAAAGTCACAACAACATTATTGGAAAACTCAAAAAAAATTGGTGAAAATAATTGGATAGTTAAGAAATTGATGCAAAGATGAAAATGTATGGATGATGATGCTAACGATTGAGAAGATATTATTTTACGAATGAAATTAAATAGATCATTATAAAATGAATAATGAATGAGAAATTCAAAAAAATTCAGTCAAATATTAATATAATAGTTACTTACAAATTAAACAGATCAAATATTAGTAATCGTTAAGAAAGAGTAAAGAAGGGAGGAAAATGAATGCAAGTTTATTTACATGACAGAGTCGAATTCTTTTCAAAAACAAATGCCATCATTACTTTGGATAATGCATTAGATCTAAACGTTTATTAAACATTTTATTTGATGGATCAAGGCTATCGCTGCGCTATGTCTGTAGTTGTTCTTATTGCCACTAATTATTTATTACTTACTTTCATTAATTATTATAATTTTTAAGACGCCAGTGACAAATTCACCACTAATACTAAAGATTAAATAAATCTGAACATAGAGCTACAAATAGCAAAAAATTTTGACAAGAAATATTTCATTTCGTCTTTTTTATGCTAAAAATATCATTAGTTGAAGTGGTAAACACGTATTAACTATTGAACAGTTTTAAAAATCATTTTTAACACTCAAAGTACAGCATTATTTCTATAGTGAGACATTAATCTATAGAACAACCAACCAGAATTAAAATAGAAAGTCATGGATTTTGACATAAAATCCATTTATCCATAAAGATAAATAGCATTTCGGTAGAATAGCTGATGTCCATTCGTGATGAAATACCCCAATGTCCAAATGTAAATCCCAAATTCTCACACTAATTTATAACCCTCATTTAACCCTAGCAAGTGGATATGTTCAAGGTCACTTAAGCATCCCTCACACATCGTCCATGAATTATATTCTCACCATTAGTTTATCAGACTCAAAGATAGTAAATATATCATTTTTTTGCTCTTTTGAGAACTGGAAATATGATACTTAGCAAACAGTAACGAAAAAAGTATAATCTATGGGACAGGGAAAGAGAAAGTAAAACGTAACAAACCGAAAAACAACCTCGACAATATCAACAATACTGCAAGATTACGATACGTTAACATATAACACAATTAAAGACAATAATACTAAAAATATTTTTTGATGAGAATATAAGCTTAGTCCGTGAAGAATACAAATCGAAAACGTTGAATTATTGATGTTAAAATGATGTAATGACGCAGTAGACACCCAACTTTGAGATCAACAAGCTAGATTTCGTAAGGATCGGTCGTGCACAGACCAAATTGCGACACTACGGATCATCGTCGAACAATCAGTTGAGTGAAACTCGTCACTATACATCAACTTCATTGATTATGAAAAGGTATTTGACAGTGTGGATAGGAGGACGTTATGGAAACTCCTTCGACACTACGGAGTTCCTGAGATTATCAATATTATCCGGAACTCATACGACGGACTACAGTGCAAGGTCGTGCATGGAGGACAGCTGACAGATGCATTCCAAGTAAGGACCGGAGTCAGACAGGGCTGTCTACTCTCTCCCTTCCTCTTTCTTCTGGTGGTCAACTGGATTATGAAGACCTCGACATCTGAGGGAAAACATGGCATACAATGGACAACTCAGAATCAATTAGACGATTTGGACTTCACAGATCACCTAGCCCTCCTATCGCATACACATGAACAAATGCAGATAAAGACAGCCAGTGTAGCAGCAGTCTCTGCATCAGTAGGCCTCAGCATACACAAGGGGAAAACCAAGGTCCTCAAATGCAACATGGAGAACACCCATCCAATCAGTCTTGATGGCGAAACTCTGGAAGATGTAGAATCCTTCACATATCTAGGAAGCATCATCAATGAACAAGGAGGCTCAAATGCAGACGTAAAGGCAAGGATTGGCAAAGCAAAGACGGCATTCCTACAGTTAAAGAACATATGGAACTCAAAACAGCTTTCAACCAATATCAAAGTGAGAATCTTCAATACCAACGTCAAGGCAGTTCTACAGTATGGAGCTGAAACTTCAAGAACTACAACAACCACCATCAAGAAGGTACAAGTATTTATAAATAGCTGTCTACGCAAGATACTCAACATCCATTGGCCGGATACCATCAGCAATAGCCTTCTGTAGGAGAACAAACCAGCTTTCAGCTGAAGAAATTAGGAAAAGACGATGGAAATGGATAGGACATACACTATGCAAATCATCCAACTACATCACGAGATAAGCCCTAACTTGGAATCCTGAAGGGAAGCGGAAAAGAGGAAAGCCAAAGAGCTCATCACCTCGGTAAATAGAAGCAGATATGAAAAAGATGAATAACAACTGGTAAGAGCTGGAAAGGATCGCTCAGGACAGGGTTGGATGGAGAATACTGGTGAGCGGCCTCTGCTCCTTCACGAGGAGTAACACGCGTAAGTGAAAAGCAAAAAAATTAAACCCTTTGTTCATGAAATATAAAGTGGTAGGCTGATTAATGTACTGATTAATAATGTGGAAAAATGAAATAAACGAAAAATAAAAATATGCGTACACGCTATAATAACCTTAGGCAAAACAATATAAGGAGTAAGATATTAAGAAAATTAATAACCAAACAATGTTATTTAATAATAATAACAATAAGAATACTACATGAATGCAGTATCCATCGAGATGAATTAGTCTTTTTCTACATCATACAGTTTATTATCGGGATATTATGTCTATTCACACTTATTTTTAACTTGACATCCAAAATGTTACTTTAGTTACTATGTCATAAAAGTAGTGTTGAGCATACGGTGTCCTCTCATTTTGTAGAGTAGTTTAATGTCAACCGAAAAGATGATTTATTTGGGAATGCAGTTACATCCAGCTGATGAGTCCCGAACGAGACGAAACACTCATTTCAGATTCGACAACTAGACACCATACATCTCTGCTTATAAGACTTGTGACTTAACGACAACATCTGCACACGATGCACATATAACAAAAAAAATACTGATCAATTTAGTTCTAAGTATCAACGAGATTTAAGCAACCAATAAATATGAGTACATTTAAATTTTATAAATGATGTGGAAGCAGTAAAATATTTTCAGTTTTATATAAATACCAGTAAGATATATACGATTCTAATGAAACATAGTGTTACAGTTGCCAAGTAGATTTTTAAGGTTACTATTAATCATAAATAAAAACATTAACTGCAGAACAGTTGAACACCAAAGAACACTAGATACGTATTCCATTTCATCCTAGAACTCATCAGCAGTATGAAATTACATCAAGTGAAATAGAATCGAATATTATTATGCCTCATAACAAGCATGATGCCAAAAATATCACTTATTTAAACTTTCATGAAAGGATTGGAAAGTGGATAGTATTTTTCATATAAGGATTATTGGTAGTATTATCCATAAAATAAGATTATACTAATGACACTGCAGTTAGACTTTCAGAATTTTTCAGGTTAAGATGGTTAACAAATAATGGATGAGGCTGAAAAATATGCTAAAAATTTTTTTAACCAATAAAGAACATTATATTAACTTACCGTTGATCATAGAATGAGCTGGCAGTAGGAACGTTATTTTCTGTTTCATATTTGCAGGTAATGGATCAACTGAAGGCAGGAGGAAATGATCCCGGTTTAAAAAAACAATGTATGCTGTATCATTGCGACGATTAACTATATTAAATAATTTTTCAAACGCATGAACAGCAGGATGAATGTAAGGCTTGAAATGATATTAGTAAAAAGATAAAACCAGAAATATATATATGGATTAGTTGAAACAGAAGTTACAGAAATACTGTTTTAATGTGCATTAGATAAAACGGCAAAAATAATAATAATATATATATATATATATATATATAATATCTGGGTACGGAAGGAATTTGATTAGGCATTTCAGATACTTTTTAATCTTAGATACTATGTGATACGTTCGAAATAAAAGTATGTGAATACGTGTGAGATTTCTAAATCCAATAGCACAACTAAAGCTGACCCATCGTGTACGGTAAATAGAGAATGAAATTACTTTGTACTTCATAAGTCGAACAACTGAATGATCAACCATTGTTCCACTGTTCATTGAAGGTAAAAATAGACAAATATAATACAGCAGAACATTATTTTGTGTAGAACCTCGTAAAAACTGAAAGTATAAATGGGTAATGTTATTATGAAGCCGAATAAACACATTTGACGTATATTACTGAGACTGAAGTGATACTATTTAATATATGATTGGGGCGGGTGAATTGGATAGAAACAGTATTCAATAATTTTCGACTACACATCAAATAATATTTTTGAAGTCAATGAAAGCTGATGATGTCCTTGAGTAAATTATGCATTAATACTCTAAATCCTAAAATAGTAATGAGTCTAACGTGTTTTGCTTTATTACAGCTAAATGCTTATAATATTGTAAACGAACAGAGATTAGAATGTTTACAAGGAGATCTGTTCTTTGAACTACAGTCTTATTTTAAGGAGTTTAAATAAACCAGTAAAATAAACGTCCACACAACATTATGGAAAACTACGTGAACCCAATCAGCAATCAAATTAATAATAGTGAAACAACTTCAACAGTAAAACAGCTGTGTTCTTTAAGTCAAGAATATTGGTTTAGTGATTTGAATAGAATTCACTTAATTGGATTAGACAAGTGATCAAACATTAGGTGAGGTTAGAATTTCAATACATGGAAAAATTCAGTACTAATTTTCTTGACATTCGCGTTGCTACCTGACAGTAATAAAAAAACTTGACATAAATAAGAATAAAGAATCATACTATGAACAAGAATTTAGAAAATAAAATAGATTTACTCATCATATATACTAACCATTTAAGCAGAACTATAAAAAAGAAAGGAAGAACCATAGAGATACCAGTCAACATCAATAGAATATTGAAAAGTAGAAATTTTGTGAAAACGCTACGCCTTAAAACAGTTGACCAATGGATGATACATCGAATTTAATAAATAGACATATAGAAATAACAATAATTTTACGATGCAAATGAAGCTAATCTGTAATGTATTACCAGCAATTTGTAATAATTTGTAATTTTCCGTAGTTGTTTCGAGCATTTCAATTGATAGGTTTCTGTTGGCGTCGATAATGTCATTATTTAGTCAAACGTGCCAGCAACAACTTCAACTCCACTATAACCAACAATCTTTACGGAAAAAAATGTGCTTAGAAATTCCTTCTCTTAAAATAAGAGTAAATTTCGTCAATGTCTAATCTTTATAAATAGTAAAGCAGTTGGATGATTTGACTGACTTATCAGTTAAACTTCATCTAAATCAAGTCACCTATAAACATTACCAATAACCATACGTAACTTTATGGACAAAGGACTCTTATGCTGAAGAACACACAATATATTTAGATTATACGTTTTATATACTAATATTAGAAAAAAAACACCTAGAAAGTCGTGCAGACAGATATCTATAGTCATAATATGGTAGTGAAACATAAATATTATGCAACAGTTATGATTAACAAAGAGTTGCAAATTTTTTAATTAATAGGTGATGTAAATGAGAGTAACAATTCATTGTAAAGGTTTACTGCCAATATAAATTGAGAATAAATTATTAGTGAACAAAATAACTAAATAAATATCTTTTTGTTTATTGAATACAATTAAACATGTAAAAGTATATAAATCAATCGGTCATTGAAATGTTTTCCTGATAAGCACAATTCAATTATTTCACTTACCAAATTTAAACATTTCACAACAGTATATTTTATGAAAAATTTGAATATGCAGAAAACAAAGTTCATCCACTTATAATAAAAATGGTACTAATTGCAGTGACAATTATCATAAATAAAAGAACAGTTGAGAGTATAGCTACACAAGTATCTTGCTCATAGATATATATGTAATAAGTTAGGCATAGAACAATAAAGTAAAGCAACCTTATAAATTAGTGTAAACAGCAAAAACTTGGTTGTAGCTTTCAATGCACGCATTATGTTTGTATACTTAGGTGATAAGATTAGACTATATGAAGTATAGTTTTTTTTAAATAGTGTAATACTCAATGACTATATTAGAACAAAAACCGTATAGAAAACTTCTTTTATCTAATGAAATCGATCAAGAAGATTCAACATTTGTATATAAATAAAAATTCAGAAAAAGATACAAAACAGCATGAATCACTTCTAGGTTAAAAACTATTGCACACTAGTGTTATTAGACCGTTTGTACAAACGATAAATTCATTCTCGTCACAGTTTTACAATTATTTTCATTTCGCTATCACAATCCAGAATTCACTTATTGTATTTTCATTGAGTAAGTGTTCATTTACATATAAATGTAGAAAAATACAGGAAAAAGTTGAAATGAAAAAACCTTAGAATGAGACAAACGGAACTAACATTAATGTAACGTATATGACTGCTGGTGATAAGAATGGCAATGAAATCAGATGAAATCCTAAACAATTGAAATATAAAGTTGAGAAAAAAAAACGAAAAAAACTGTACTTAAATGTGAACTAATTTTGATTCCAGGGACACATAGCTGTGTGACGTTAGTGAGGGAATAAATGCATATTTTTTGAAGAAAAACAATAAAATGAATGACTTTTTCGCTTAGTTTTACTCACTGTACATGAATATAGCTAAAATCCAAAAACGAGATCCCATTTAGCTTTTTTACTATGTGTTTAATACTCTCGGAAATTACATGGCATACGTATACAAATAGGAATAGAAATGTTTTGTGTAATTTATGTCAACATTATGTTTTGTTATTTGTAAGTTTTGACACTTATACTTAGTATTATATGTGATTTATTGTTAGAGATGAGTTGATTTAAACCCTAATCGAAAAAAACAAACATAAAATTTGAAATGAACTAAAATGAAGTCTGTAGTATGGAATAGACAATGGCGAAATTTCAAGATCACAGACAAAAAAACAATACTTCGGAACACATATGGATCAGTTGAACTGATGAAGCGTGATCGATAATGTTGATTCGTGTTTATAATCCGGTAAATTTAAGTTAAGTAGATAAACTGGTTCACTGATCTATACTCTAAGTGTGTGAGCTAACCCGAAGTACGTGATGCGGAGCTCGAACCGTGCTCTCGACAGCTGAAATGAGCTTATTTCATGTCTACCGAATCACATAATAATTATTGTATAATTCTGGCCAATAACTTTCTACTAGACAATACCAAATGGCGCTTATATGAAACTTTTCCCTTCATAACTATATATTGATTATGTTTGTAGAAGTTAACAAAAACTGTACACAAACACAAACCCAGTGATGATTTAAAGATTCGGTAACCGAAGACATATCACAAAGCACAAACTAAAAAAACTGATTAACAAAACAGGCTTCAATAATTAACAATTAACAAATCATACTTTAAGCAAACTCATTAGGAAATCGAAAGTAGTTAAATGAAACATTTAAGGGACAATTATTAGTTAGTGAAAGAGAACTTTCAAAGACAACATACATCAGATTCATTGATATTATCCTAAATAATTTGAGATGATGTGGGAAGTAATTGATGAGTAAGCAGTTACAAAAGAGGATGAATGAAACAATTTCAATATGAGATTCGATAGTAGAAATGCGTCTACGTTGAACAAAACAAATTTGCGGAAGAATATATTTGATATTAGTGAATTTTTAGAAAATCATTATAATTTTTAAAAGACAAACAGGTGTCTAAACAAACGGAAAAGACACTGTTAACTCTCCCTAGATTTGAATTGCGATTATACGATTGTATTCATCCTAGGCCTCAAAAACATCTAATGTACATTAGTCCCGTCTAAAACTATGAGCATTCATTACGAAATTATTGGTATGGAATACTTGTTTTACTCATTTTGTACTTTTTTATTCAGTATAAGATAACCGTAAAACGTTAACCTACAACTATACACGATAATATAAAAGGATCAAATAACTTGAAATACACGCGAATCAGTATTAAGAAGCGATATACACGTATGACTTAATATTTCGTTTGATTTTTTTATGACTGGCTTATAATGACTAGCAACCAGATGCTTGTATAAACGGACCATGTGATTACAAAAATCTCACTAAAGTAACTAAAACCACAATATGAATTATCCCTTTTTATTAAATTTGAAAAGGAAATTGACAGCTAATAATGTAACCTTGTTTTATTTTACAGGCCAAAAACACTCTCCTCTGAGATGACGATAATGTATAACAATTCTAATAAAAAAATATTGATCGAAGAAGATTACTAGAAGAGTATACTCATAACTAAAGCAACTGTTATTCAAGCAGTTAGAAAGCTTAACAAGTCAATTTGCAGTTAACATATTACTATATTTACCGAATTAATACTAATGTTGACCCTAAGTGACTACTGTTTAGAAGCTTCTATATAACAGTATTTTAATCGAATCGCCTATTCTTAATGTATTAACAATAATTTACTGAAATATAACAGTGATCATGAGCTACTGTAACAGAACATTTTTATTTATGCAAGATAAGAGGAATAATCACAAATGGAATTTATGTATAAAATGAAGTACCTGCAAATCATATTTTTTCAATATTGGAGGACGTTGAGGTGGAGGAAAGTTGGGCGGTAATGATTCAGTTGTAACATTCAGAATAGAATCGTTAATTTTCCTAGCCGAATAGCGTTCTAATGAATCTTTTCTTGAAGGCGAAATCGATTCGGAAGATGAATTATTTAAATGTTTCATAGGTAAGAAAGCAGGTTTTTGAGTATGTAATACATTTTGTTGTGAAAGTTTTGATGAACTGACTATATGTTGTCGGTGTTCAAACGCGTTTAGACTATGAAGAGATGAAGTAAGTAGTAACCTGTATACACGGGACTGATTACTGGTAGATACAGCATGCCTTTTAATCCAACCCTAAAACGTCAGATAAACAACTATATATAGGACGTCTTATGAAAATAAAGATGAGTGATTAAGGAAAAAGCACGAAATTCAAGGAGAATAGATGAATCCTAATATTCGAAGTTATTAATTATTTGTTCAGTTATTTATATACAAAGTAGAACATGACACTGTTTATATCGCTTCAAGTTGATATAATCCATTAGCACGAGACTAAGGTGTTAGGGAAAGTCCCACAGTAGTAGAGGTAGTAACAGTATTGGTGGTAATAGAAAATGGTATCTCAATTACAACAAAAGTGGAAAAAGCTGATGAGCTTTCTTGATTCGTGCTGAGATTTTGTCAGACACCAACCCGCTGAATGATAAGACTTCTAAGATAAGTGAAGTGATCGACGCGCTCAACAACTTCACTCATTAGCATTGGTTCAGGCGTGGACCGAAACCATACCTGAAGTAACGCTTTGGATTTAGGAGGAAAACGCATCCTGATACCGTTGTTACTCAAGATAATCAGAATAAAGCTTTTTTCAGCCTGTTCATTAAACATGACTATATCATCTGCATATTCCAAGTCAATAAGTGAATCTTCTGATAGAAGATTGATTCCTGACAAATCAAATCATGAAATTTCCATTTCGAAAAAGAATTTATGTGATCAATCTCAATAAAAGTGAGGAAATTAGACAACCCTGATGAATACCACGTGAAGTAATAAATTTCAGAGACACTTCGTTATATGTTCTCACCCGACCAGTAATGTTCGAGTATAAAAATTTCAATGATAAACTTTGACATAAGACTTAATGATTTACGGAGTCGAGAAATAAAACTGAGGATGAGGGTCGGTAGGTATGTCTGTGTTTCAGAAAATGACAGAAGGGAAATATCTGGTCTACATATCCTTACCGAGGTCTGAGACCAGCCTGGTTTTTTCCGAATTCGCACTTCACAAGCCCTAATTGAACGTTGGATGACTATTGCGGCTAATGCTTTAGAAATTATATTAGTTGAACTGATTGTTTTGTGGTTATCACAAGGAGAGTGTTGTAGTTTATTGTGGGCTGGCACGACCAGAGATCGAAACCAGTCAGATGGGATTACGTTCATATCCCAGACCCTATCTAAGATATATAAATTCGGTCGGTTCATTACGATAGACAAGCCCGACCACCACTTCGAGGTAGCGAATACTATAGAAGAATGGATTGAATGAATTTTTATATTATATTAATATCTATCATAATAGTTGTAAAAAGGTTTCTTTTAAGTCCAATGTTGACAACAGCGGAGTAGAAAAATTGCAATTTAGGATAAGGAAAAACAGTAGGACTGGCATGTCATTCATAACCCCCTTCAGTAACGTTTACACTGACGACTAGTATTTGAAATTTGTAGGAATAATATAAGTCTATATGAGAAATATGAACAACGATGATTGTAGACTAACATTTATAAGCAGTAAAAAATTTGGATGAAATATGAATAACAAAGAAAAAACAAAAACGTGTGAACAATGTTTCAGCTCATATCTACAGAGTAATAACAATAAATCAGAATGGCAACTAACTTGAAAAATTTGCCTGGAATCCGTAAGTAAGGAATTCTCTGCACAACTCATGTTTTTATTAGGACCACAGTTGTTAGTAGAATGATTAGTTGGAAATTTTCCAGAAAATAGAAATTCATTATTTGAGGGGTTCTGAAGTGAATTATCATTCGTTAAAACATCTTCTTCTTGTGTAGGTGGAATATTTAATAAAAGACGTCGCCCAGTTGGAAAATGTGGCACAGGTGACCATAGCCTGGGATAACCAAAAGCTAAATTTTTGAAAAACAGAAAAGGTAATAAACTAAACACCGAGAAGTCGTAAAAATAACCAACGAAACCCATTAGCAAATAGTTGACGACAAGAAATAACTGCATCCAGAAGAACAAGCTTAACAGATTGTAATGATTTAAGGGCTAGGGGTTACGATTGAAATCAACAGTTTTCACCCAGTGATATCACTATAACACTTTCCAATACCCTTGGATATTATAGAGTACGCAAAAAGCGATTTAGGGAGAAAATAATGATAGTCAGACTAAACTGAAAAAGAATCGAAGACAATTCAGTAACGAAAATTTTCTTTTCAATGATTTCATTTACTTAAATACAGGATGATCCTTCCTCTTGTCTGAAGTTGAGCGCATCCGGAATAACTTAGCTAGAAGACAAATCTTTCACGCCAGCAACTAGAGCAAATCGTTGATATATATTAGTGAGACGAATTTTTAGTAAAATTCTTATTCCGGTTAGAAAATAGTACAGAATTCAAGTTGCTATACTGTTTTGAAGTATGTATGATGACACAGGGCAGTTGAATTTCACCTAGATGTATCATTACCATGCTAGTTTGTGAAGTTTACATTTATTTTGCTTGATTATTCGTTTAACCGCACTTCTGAATACTTATACTTGATAAATCGCTATTAAAATCTACTCATTTCTTCTTTGGGTCATTTATGCTATGCATATTATCTTATTGTATTACGACTAGACCTATCTCCAGCTCCCAGGTCAACATCCAAACCATTACGCAACTATTTTTGTTGAGATTTTTAACACTTAATTAATGATGTAACACCTATTTTACAACATGCTATTAAGTGTGTCGGATAACTGCTAATGAATTCACAGCTTTAAATAACAACACAATCGAATGGAAATTTTCTTGCGCCGCATCGTCTATATACGGACATATCATTCCAACTGGCGATCTTTTAAGTGATAGGATGGTATTGCAAATTTGGTTTATATATATTTATGAAAAATATGGAGAAAATTTACGAAGGTTTTGATAGTTTTACGAATATGATTTCTATAACAAATTACATACACATTTCTAACAGGGGTTACAAACAATTTATTTTTAGAAATAAAAATTACCAAATTTTCCAGCAGCAAGGGATCCACCATCATAAGACATGCTATGTGAAGATAAGAATCTTACTCCAGAATATATATCTGATAAAGGAACTATATTCACGGCTAACAGACCGCACATAACCAATAAACTTGTGGTAGCAATTACTTTAGATCGATGACTGACGGTAGGAACGATTCGCTGAGGAGAAATCAAGGTTTTAGTAATTGATTTGAGTTGAGAATGATGTGATAGAGATTGTGAATGCGATTCAACATCAACTTTACTTGTAAGTAACAATCTCTTTGAAGAACTATCCCATTTGAACGTTCTTGGGGAATTTACACTCGTAAAGTAGGCTGAAACAAGAATTAGGGAAAAAAGATGTGACTTTCAACGTAATACAATACCTGGACATTATACATATCTATGAATATAACTGATTGTAGGTAGATGTAACATTATTACTTCAATATTTCTGCGGAATGAATATATATCACCTATACACAGTGGACGGTGAATGCTCCTCCATCAACAGCAGTCTTAAATAGTGATATTGCGCTGACGTACGCTTTATTGATATAGATTTTCTAATAAGTAAGCCAAGATCGCACAAATAAATTACTTTCCCGAATTGTGTTTACAAGTAAATCTAATCTGGATAAAAAATGTTGACAGGTATGAAATATCGGTTAATATGTTATGTGTGTGATGTGATGAACTCCAAGGTAATTTGAAGGAGGCTATTTTAGATATTATAGTGCTTCTTAATCACCGAAGGCACGAAAAAAGTGTCTTAAAGCTAAATAATAAACAAAATAAGATCACTAAAAGCTTTTATATGGAAAATGTCCGTGGAAATAAAATCTGATTCTTTAAATAGTAAAACTTACTCGTTTTTTGAGTGGGAGCTACGTTTTGGCAATTTTTTAAATGCTGAATTGAAACTGTCTTGCTTTTTCCAAGATCAGACAACCTTGGAAGACGACTAAGTGGAGTATCTGATTTGAAACCAACAGTGACTTCATTGAGTGGTGCTAATGTGTGCACAGAAACTGTTTTACCACAAGCCTCTCGGGGAGTAATTTGTTTGTCAAGGTGTGAAGAAATATTTGTCGCCTCGTCTGAACTTACGTTAAACGACTGAGATTTAACAGTTAGGTTTTCTGAATTTATAGAGCTTGGAAGCCGTGACTGTAAATCTTCAATACAACGTTCCAAACGGAAACATCGTGCACGCCACTCTTCATTCTGGCGCCAAAGTAAAAGGTTTTCACGTTTTAGCTGCTCGAACTTCATTTCTAATCTTTCTAGGTACTAAAAACAGAAGGTGGATGGGCATCCGTGACTGAAATTTGGATGCATAAACAATGTGTTTGTTTATAATTAAAAAAGACGATAAAATGGAAATCATGATTTGGAGTTCCAATCTGGTACAAAGCGGTTTCACAAAATGACGTTCCCAAATGACAAGCAATGCATTTAAAAATTTTCCAGTCTTTAGCTAGCGCAATTAAGTGGTTTTCATTATGTCAAACTCCTCCACTGTGACGAAGTGGAGATCACGTTAATTACAATGAGAAGTGAAATACAAGAAATATAATTGGAAAGGAAGGAATAAAATCGAAGGATAGGAAATACGGAATGAGACTAAACTAAAAATTTGAAAAAACGATATGAATGCAACAGCTCCACTGATAACCAGTAAGGTTACCTAACTTAAATAAATCCTGGTACAATGAGGTGTCAAAATAATGCACCATCCGAATGTGTTGGGGATGTTAGATCCCCAGAACTCACTTAGTAAACGTCTTATTTTTGTAATTTTATTTTGGAAATCCGAATTTCTGGTTTTCGCACTAAAGGCGTCCATTTTTACCTTCAGATTGTATTACCCACTTAGGAGGACCCTAAATGTAATTGGTTGGTTGTCTCTTTTAACATGCTATTTTGTGACGTTTCCCAGGGAGATTTCTATGCTGTATATATATGCTTGAGTTGTGCGCTTGTTATTGTTCGTGCTTCTAACTGCTTGTAGAATATACTTTCTCTCATCTGAACCTAAACTCCTCCCTCTAGTTAGCGGGGCTGGGACGCATTGGAATAGATAAGCTATCTTGTCATTGTGTCGCTGATTCTTCGTTCCGTTCGCCGATTTTATAATCTCTTCAGAAATAGAAAAATGAAGTGATAATATTGTGAAATAAGAGGGATACTTTCATGAAATAAGCTACTATTGTGCAACTGCAACTTCAATAAGGTGAAAAAAACTACTTTTACCCTCTTTTTCGCTTTTCGCCAACCGGGGTATGAAGTATAGTTTGTATAGAAACTTTCTTGAATGATACCCCAGAAGCATTAATCTACATTCCAGTTAATTCAATCATATATCGACGCAATAAATATCAACTATAGGATTTTCCCAAATGAGTAATTGTTATTGAACATAGAATCACAGTGAATTAATTACGACGAGGAAAAATGGATTGGGAATCAACTAACTAATTATGACCTAAAATATACTGAAAATACATGAATAGAATACATTGTGAATAATTCAGCACACCTAAGATACGTTGAAGTTGAGTGTACGAAAATCACCATAAACTGATAGTCAGTCAGTCGGTTAATAACAACGTAGAACTTCGTACGTACGTACATCAGTTCAAGTTACCATACCATATTAGCACAGAGATACGATTGTCTATTCAAATCCCATAGCGGTAGAGGTAGTAAACGTTTAAACCGTCATTGGAAAGATCAGGATTTGGAGATGTTATTCAAGGAGTATAATCCAGTGAAACAAATTTGGAAAGAGAAAAACAAGGGACATGAAGAATTCACAAGATTTGAATTTGGGAGAACACAAAGAGTGGATGCACTTGCGCCATTGCAAACAATTTTCAGCCATATCATTCGAGGTCTCTAACCATCGGTTGCTACCGTCTCGCGGATCCCAACCAAGTAGTCTACAACTACCAACACGGCTCAGTTCACTTGTCAGTGACTTCATGGATTTGTGCCATGTTTTGGTCTGACCACCCCTAGATTTCTTCCAACCTATCCCTACACCATAAAACATCGCTCGTCGGGACAGTCGGTGGTTGGACATACGTAACACATATTCCAACCACCTCAACTGATGAAGTTTCACTACGTCATCAATTGATTTGCCATCCTTACCTAGTACCCGTTTCCTAACAACTATATTACTTACTCGATAGTCCCAGGATATACGAGAAATATTTCGAAGACACCTAAGATCGAATACTAGTAACCTACGAATATCCTCTACTCTTACCGGCCATGTTTCACTGCCATAAAGTAGGACGGAACGAGCTGTTGCGCAGTAAATCCGTCCTTTGGTTGATAAACGGATATCTCGCCTACGCCATAAATGACGCAAGTTGGTAAAAGCTGGTCGAGCCTTCTGTATCCGTGCTGAGATTTCGTCACACACCAAACCACAAGGGCTGACGAGACTCCCAAGATAAGTGGAGTGGTCGACACGCTCAACCACTTCACTTCCTATCATTAGTTCAGGTGTCGATACAACCCGATCCTGAAGCAATATTTCACATTTCGAGGGGGAGTATCGCATATGTACGTCTTTTCCTGATATATTTTCGCTAACAATTGGATTCCTAATACCAATTTCCTTGACAAGTCTGAACAGTTGTCTGTTGTTACCTATTGCCGCTGCCTTTTTCATCAGTCTTGCTTTCGCTACTCACGAGTGTTCGCGGTCATTGCGTAGGCATCTGGATTAAATGTATAGTCATCGAGGCACTATAGAAATATTAAAAGAAGCAGTGGCATGGTGGTCTGTGACCGGAATAATCTTGTACACTACTCGTTCATTTAGAACTCTAAAGCTCATGTACATCACTGGCTTGGAAAAACGGTTTTGCAATTGTTGTAGGCGGACCCTTATATTCATTAGCCCAGTTTGAGCACAATGCATTTTTGAATTCATAAAAATTACTAGTTTTGTGAAACCGTTCCAGAATTAATAACTAGAACTGATAAGTACTTAGAAGTGGCAATGATCAGTAGGATTAAAATCCGAACACACTGAAATTATCTGGAATTTCAATACTATAAAATATAAACATAGTACAAGGTGAATTACCTCCTTCTTACGTAACCGGCTTAGACATGCTGCTTGTCTATTTTTCACCATTCTTTCTTGCTTTTTACGTATGCGTTCCAAGTCAGTCTGGGTTATGATGGATTCGTTAGGTCCTGAAAAATCTTGCACATCAAGAAATGACGTTGGTGAGAATTGAGAACTGCTCCCGAAAACAGAATCAGGATATGATGTACTCGGGATATTTTTCTGTATAAAAATAAGTGATGAGGAGCCCTGATGAATACAAGGAAATAACTACAGTAAAGAGAACATAGGTGTATATCTTGCAAACAGGCACCACACAAGGATTTCGTCCAAATCATAGATCAACTTCGACTTACATAGTCATAGCAACCGTTAACTAGTAGTGTTGATAGGATTACTTCATTGTCAGTATTGTAAAATAACGGTGTGAAGAAATAGATGTTCACCTAAACATGAGCTTTCAGTAACTACTTGATTATTTCTACGAACTTAAATACGAACTAACTAGATTTATGTTAATGAATTTTTGAGTAATCTATGTTAGTATCGAAACTCTTTACTACCAGTTACTTTAGTTGGTAGTGATACAAGATCAAACATCAGAAAATGATTAATGGATCTATGGGTAACTATTACCAGAAATTTAATATTAGCTTTGTTCACTGAAATAAACAGATGAAATAAATATTAAAATATAATACTTTTGGCCAAGAGTAAACATCTGGAAATTTGCATGGAAAAATAGACACTTTATTCACACAAACACATACATTTGGGAACTAACTTCCAAGATAAATCTGATAAAATAGAAAATGTAAGCTATCAATAAGTATATCAGTGGTAATTATAATAGTCACAAAAATTAAAACCTGTTTACCAGTTTTCCGGTATAACTACAATTTCCACACCAGAATCACCTAAAATTCTACTGAAAATAGTCTGAAAACTTTTACAAACCAACAAATATCAAACTTTAAACATATTACCAGTCACGAAAATCATATTATTGCGTAATCAACTCTCGGGAATTTATAGCTATTACTTTAGACTGAAAGAACTGTAAAACGTTTGAAGCTGCTAAGACTTATCAATCTAAAAACTACCATCATTTAGTTTAAAATCTCTACTGACAAACCAGCAGAATAGTAATTACAAAATAGCTGTTATATAAACATAGTCTATATTCACACTCGCTAGGAGATGAAATTAAACAACACCGAAGCTATCTACAATTGTTAAGTTATAAGCAATTTATTTATATTACTACACTAGATTTGGATTTTAAAAAGCTTGATGTTGATGATATTTCGTTTTTATGGTTTAAGAACATATTAGTAGCAAGTAAACAAAAAGATAAGATAGAACTAAATTGTAATATGTCGATTTAAAGCAACATAGTTTACGGGTGAGGAATATTTTAAAGATTTTAAGTGGATTTATTTGTTATGTTATGCATTATCGCACGTGTCCAAAACAAAGTGAGAGGTCGTATGAACATATTTAAACAACTGCAGTTTTTCAATACACAGAAATACTTAAGTAACAATAAATGTAACATGCTAAATATTAAATTAGCCAACAAGAAATTTAGAAAAAATGCCTTTTTAAATCTTTCTTTGAATTCCTTAACTACAAGTTTCAATATTAAAACAGTAGAGCTTCGAGAGGGAATAACTAAAATGTCTTTCCCCTAAACAATTTTAATATTGAATATTTCAAATTTACTAAAAGCAACAAACTGTAAAAAATGGAAAACTTACTGAATGCTGCCATAGTGAAGGATCTGAAGGAGTCGGGTTTCTACAGTATTCATAAATTTCAGTTACCCCATTTACTGCGGAAAAAAACTCGTCTAATGCTTATAAGAAAAGATAATAGTACATGTTAATTATTTTAAACAGAATAGGGTAGCTAGTGGACTGGAAAATAGAAAACCTTAAGGACGGGGTTAAATAACCATTCCAACTACGTATGCATTGCCTGATTTCCGACAGAGACATCTTGTAAAATATTCATATGATGTTTAGGTTCCCTCTTTAACTGACTCACAATAACATAACGCAAGAATAAGTGAACTTGACAAAATTGCGTTTAGGCCATTTGTGAAAATTATAAAATTTTCAGTTTAAATCATGAACTGGTTATAACCAGACTACTACTGAGTTATTGAAAGCAATGAATAGCCATTTCGTCGTGACATGGGACTCCTAAGCAGTTCACATCTACAATCACGTATCTAGGATTCCAGCCCAGGACCTGTGGTCTTACGTGTGAACGATCAACCTCTAGAACAACCCGCCAGCTTCGGAATGCAAATCGAGGAGTTCTAGTGCGGAGAGGTGAACAGTGAAGTTTAACCATGCCGGGTGTAAGATATTTAATAACCGCAGGTAATGAATAACGGTTGGGCAGAATCGTGGTCTGACTGAAGTTAAACATTAATACCCCCAAATGCCCTGGTATGGCCGAGTGGGGTAGGCCCACCCACCCCTCTCGAAATGCTCTCACATGGCCATGCGTATATAGCCTCTGCCAGGGAAGTCCTACTCACTGCCTTCTCGTGGCGGGTTTTTTACGAAAATGAGAGGATGAAAAGCGAATGTCCGGCGCTCTAACCGGATTCCAAACCAATGATGCACATAGGCTCCAGTATCCTGCGGGAACAAATGGCGTATGAACCAATTGTTGGTCACCGGCTTCCATGGGACTGCATCTCCTCACGATGCTCCACTGCCTTGTGGATCAGACCCTCAGGTTCAAGGCTCGGGGAGTGGCCCTCCTATGGAAACCACCTGCTTCGGACTGGGCACCCGGGCAGTATCACAGCCCACACACAAATATGATGAAATATCGATATTTATAGAACATACTTGTCTTGCTTCGATTAACAATCAAACGATTCATATTATTATTATTATTTACGTCATTTATTCACTCTTTTATTCCCACTTTATGTATCCTTATTTTTCGATTTATGCAGCAGCTCGCCTACGGTGGGAACTCAGTTCTATCTAAACGTTCTCGAGGCACTGCCTGGTTGAAAATTGTATGCTACCACCAAATACGAATAATCAAGCAGTTTTTCTGAAACCATGTGCACCATTCAAACTGGCTGCCTTCAACGTTCGCACACTTATGCAGGTCAGGCAACAGATACGGCTGGCTATGTCTTTGGAAAGTCTTAATATCGACGTGTGTTGCCTATCCGAGACCTGTATTCAAGACTCCAGTCAAGTACTACAAATATGCTCTCCATCTGTCGCTTCAAAAAGCTTGTTTTATGTGCGTTTATCCGGGGACCCTGTGGCATCTTCGTCTGGTCTTGCTGGTGTCGGTGTCGCACTGATCGCTAGAGCTGAGGCAGCACTAATCGATTGGATCCCTATTAACAGTCGGTTATGTGCTGTTAGATTAGAAAGTTCCATCAAAGTAAGAAATCGGCATGGGAAACGATGTGTTTTCATCATCTCCGCCTATGCTCCGACAGATTGCAGCCCGGATGCAATCAAGGATGAGTTTTACCACCAGTTGTCTGTTCTTCTCCAGAAAGTGTGTTCGACAGATATTGTAGTACTAGTCGGAGACTTGAATGCTCAGGTCGGGCGTCTAGGCACAGAAGAGAGTCGTTTAGGTGGCCGATGGGGACTCGTTGGTCGCAGGTCAGATAACGGGGATCGTCTACTGCAACTATGCACAGACCACAACCTGTTTCTGGCTAGCATCCAAGTGTATAATCATTTGTCGGGCTATGAATTATACAATTTGTGAATGTTAGCGATCATAAAGTAGGTCAAAATAAAAGAAGTTGGTCTTTGGAGTGGGACGCAACAGTTAAAAATTACATGCGTGAGGTGGTAAAGACAGAAATCTTCTAGTAGTAACCACTGGAGAATATTGTAATGGTATTATTTCAATAGTCTTAACTTGCATTGTAACCTGATATTTAGCTAGAGCTCAACTAGGAGTGGCCAAACCAAGGCATCAGTCTACGAAGCCACTGACAGTTGGATTTAGATATGTTAGTAGGCACAAACAACCTTGCTGGGGTTCGCGTAATTATCGCAACTAATGGGTAGAAACTTTAAATGACATGGATCAAAGTCGCTTGCAATGGCGCAAGTGGATCCATTTTCCGTCCACCCAAATTGTAAGATTCTAAATTCCTCAGAACCTTATTTGTTCTTATTTCACTAAGTTATATTTTCGAGTTGTTTCTTCGATACCGAATGTTTCCAATTACCATTGATACTGTTACTACCTTTACTATTCTGGGATTCGACCTGACCGTTTCATCTCGTTGTACTAATGGTGTACGGCGAATTGAACCGATGTACATAAGTCTATTTATTTCAACACATAGATATTGGTACAAAGAGGCACCAAATACATATGCGCCACACAAATCTCACTCGATATATGTGAAGGCTGTGATACTGCCCGGGTGCCAAAACCGAAGCAGGTGGTTTCCATAAGGGGCTACTCCCCGAGCCTTGAACCTGAGGGTCTGATCCACAAGGCAGTGGAGCATCGTGAGGAGATGCAGTCCCATGGAAGCCGGTGACCAACAATTGGTTCATACGCCATTTGTTCCCGCAGGATACTGGAGCCTATGTGCATCATTGGTTTGGAATCCGGTTAGAGCGCCGGACATTCGCTTTTCATCCTCTCATTTTCGTAAAAAACCCGCCACGAGAAGGCAGTGAGTAGGACTTCCCTGGCAGAGGCTATATACGCGTGGCCATGTGAGAGCATTTCGAGAGAGAGAGCGGACTCTCCCCACTCGGCCGTACCAGGGCATTTGGGGGCATGTACATAAGTACAGGCTCTGCATTGTGGCTGACTGACTAACTGGAGCTTAAGGGCAAATCTGAAGAAAAACAACATTAAAGTATTCACTTTATAGAATTTTTGAATACATAGGTACTGATCAGCATTCAAATGTACATAAATTTCGTGTCTTGTAGGTGGGATTTTACTCTGTTGCTCTCAAGGTTGTGAGATAGTGTTGACCACTTACTGATTTTATTCGTTGTACATTCTAGGTGGATCAATCCTTTTACAATGGAAAGTATGTGAAGCAGTAACCCTACATCTTCAGTTACATGAATACCAGACGACCAAATAGGACTTAGGACAGAAAACGACGAATATAATTAGACTCGAACCAAATACACATTAACTAAATTTCTTACAGCTTATCGAGTAGGGGGTATGAGATATTGTTTATTCCTTATTTAGAAGTAAAATGGCTTGTTAAGGACATTTTGTTATATATATATATATATATATATATATATATATATATGCATTGGGGTAAACTGAGATCGATCAGTCCCCCTGAAACTCTTCATCAGGTTTAACTTTTTGGTATTTCATAAACACCAGTATGGGTTCACAAGATCCATATTAAGTTTGGTAAAACACGTCGTGTATCAAACAATATGTAATTCGCCCATAAAATGGTGAGTTAATTTCATTAAAACTTGCTCTTAGTTACTTAGGAGGTTTGAATTGTGACCTTAGAATTCAAAGGCACCTTTAAATTATAAGTGACTTGTTTTAGATGTTTTTAAAGCATTGTTTGTATAAAACAATATTATCGCCCTAAATGTCTAGGCAAAATATTTATCCATGTCCTGAATACGACTTACAACGGCAATCCATGCTTGATTTAGTAGGTGAATTCACAGAAGATCCCGGAGATGTGTTTGAGGACTCAAACGACGGAGTAACACTAGAAGGCACAGTTTTTACTGTGACACCAGAATGCTCCGGCGGCTGCAGTACACTTGATACAGCCAAATTGTGACCAACACCAGAATTTACTCTCTGAGGATAGGAAGCTGAAAAGTATGGCTTTACCAAAGAGCTGTGTAGTAAACGTTTTTCACCGACAGAGTTTATAATAATCCTTTTAAATTTAGGAATAGTAGAATTAGAGCCCGGTCTATCGATAGGTATGCTCTTTGACAAACCATTCACCTGAACCCCGCAATGTTTGTTATTTTCATGCAAAATGTCGGACACACGTGTTGTAGCATCGACAACATCAGTCAGAACATAATCAGTACCAGTGTCGTTGGGTCGTACATTAGTTTCTTGGTTTATTGGTTGCTTTTCCCCTGCAACTGTTTAAAGACATGACTATCATAAAAACAGACAAACCGCTTATTCCACTATCACTGTCTGAGTTTTCTAGGAGCTCTGAAGCTTTTAATGCAAAGTCGAATTCACCCATATCAATATCGTTAGACTGGACGAAGGATTATACAAAACATTAAAATTACCAAGTCCACTGACTGCAGAAACATATCCATGGCATCTTCAAGACCCACTATTAAAAATAAAAATTTTAGAGGTACATAACTTACACAGACTATCACAAGACATGTTCGGCAAGGGAAAAAACACCCGACTCAACGTCAAGATTCAATCTTTGCGCGTGAAGAGCAACCTACAACAAACTCACATCTTCAATGCATACAAAGGGATGCTCATTTAGGCTCAGAAAGATAAAAAAGAAAGGCAGACCGGCACATGCCTCAGAGCTTTGAAGTTTGACTCTAACTCTTTGGCTCCGAAACTACTATGCTTGTGGAGATATAACTGACAAGCTTATTTTGTAAATAGATTTTAATATTACTTGTATTTACTTTGTCAATTTCTCACTGAATGTACATTTATCATAAAATGACTGTACGAGTTGTTTTGGTAAATTACCTTGAACACACTTTCCGCTGTGGTATTGACATAGCGTGACATACTGTTGCTGGCTAACAAATACACTGCTACTCAAACATTCCTCGTTCTATCTTCGTTTGTGATTGAGTTAACTGAAGTCTAAATCAAATTCTGTTTACATTTATAGACTGTAAATGGAAATATCACATCCTACGTTGGATTATATCACTGGAGATTTCGTCAACCAGATTGGAATTATCAAGCATTTATAATTGTGGTTTCTTGTACCAGACCAAAGTCGAACACGCATCAGTTTGGTGAACTTAAGTAAAGTCCTAACTTTCTTTATTACTTTGTTGATACTTTTTGCGTTTATATATCGTCTGGTCCACCACATGTTGATAAGTGGTATTGTAAAACAGAACATTAGGTAAGAGCATCGTATTTACTGTGAGAGGTTACAAAGTATTTGCGTGACGTACATAAACTTTTGATCGTCTATTTGCATGTTACGGAGGTTTTTGATATCTGGACTACCCTCAAGTGCTCTGCCAATGTCGTGCTTTTGACACACTGAAATCCTTCATTCTGTTCGATGGTAAATGTGACTTCCATATGGCGTTCCGCTACACACTTATTAGAGACATCCTTGTGAGTAGCGTCCACAACAGTATCACAAAGTGTGTAACGGAATCATACCAGTCACATATAAGCGATATTGCAAACCACCCTCTTGTCAGC